AGTACTGTAATTTTATACATTTCTTGTGAAAGAAACATTTCTTATTCAACGGCGATTAAAATTATTTATATTAATGATGTCTCCGAAGTTCAACGAAGTTTTCGCAGAAAAATAAATTATCAGAAATCAGTTGTGGTTTGGTGTGCTGCTTCGCGACAAAAACAAGCTTTAGCAATGGGGTTGTCGAATGGTGCATACTCGGTAAGTAATCCTACAATTTTTTGTTTATAGCATAGTTTATACAGATTATTTCCACAAAAAATATACGTATTTTGGAAATGTTGAGTCGGATTAGTCTAGAATCAATTAATTTTATGGAAGAAAACCTTTCAAACAGCCTTAGTCCATAAACTTGACACGTGTCGGGCTATGATTGGAAGGACTCGTAAGAAATCGGTTTCCTAAAAAATGGAATGTATCTATGATCTTATAGGGGGGTCAACTGTATGTATATATTACTATATATTGAAGCGTTTTTCTGGACTATTTCTATCTTCTGCGTTTTCGTAATCCCTTTTTTCAGTAGCATTTTAAAGACTGTGGGAGCCCCTTCGGGGCCCTATGCGCCCGCATAGTTCGCTTACCGCTTAATCCGCCGTTCAGGTATACACCACCTATGCATACCACTTTAAAGCAAAAAATGATGTCAGAATTTCTGCACGCCTTTTACATCCTTGAGACTAAGAGTTTATTCAGGAGTTACCGTTTTCAATTTAGTAATTTTTAAAAGATCCTTGGGCAGATTTATTTTTGTTACAAAATGTTACCTTTACAGACTTTTAGCTCTGCACACTAGAAATTCTAGAAATACAATTTTGTATATCATAATAATATTAGTAGTTGCCAGAGAGCTCTATAAAGTAGAGAAAAATCTGTAAATTTGAAAAATATAAACATAAATTTAAATTTTTCAAAAAATAAATTAAAAAATCTCAAAAGTCACTACTTTGGCTGATTTGTCTGAGGTCTCCGCTACCTCACTACGTCCCTCTAAAAGCCGCAACAGTTGGGAACTTTGGTAAGCAGACATCTAGTGTCTAAGTAAGGCAAAATGTAATTGCCAAACCACGCTGTAGAAAGGCAAAAAAATTTTAAATTTAAAAAATATAATTTCTTGTGAACAGCAATTTGGGCCCCCCTTCCAAGTGGGCCCTGTGCGGGTGCACCCATTGCACCTGCCTAGTTACGGCTCTGTGTCCACATGCAACTTACCCACTTAAAAAACAAAACAGTACTATATTATCTAAACAATTAAGACAAATATTATCAAATATGTAAATAAATCATTGCTAAAAAAATTTAATTACCTCTTCTTTAAGCTTGCTATTTACCCAAACACATTTAAATTGTTTTTTGTTTTCCAATTCATTAACTCTAATACTAAGCTGAAAAAAAAAAAAGACAAATATTAGAATAATAAGAAAAAAATTTAAAAAGACACCCATTAATTTGATAACTTACCTGTTGATAATAAATTTTCTTTGGTTGTCTTGGTTTGAAATAAACTAATAAATCTTTAAGAGTTCCTTCATATGTACATCTTAATGGAATTCCAGGTCCATCCCTGTAACTATAAATATAGAACACAATGTTCAAATGTTCAAAAATATTCAAATTGACTGTAAATTAAAAGAAGTTATAATTAAGGACTTTTATTAAAAATAAATTTTTCAAATAATATTAAAATACTTTGAGACCAAATTTAGAAAATCTTTTATCACATTATAAATTTTACAAATAATACCTACTTCTGAGCTTTGAAAAACTGCAGCAAATATGGATCTGTTCCTAACCTCTGGGCAACAGCAACTGCCATCTATTGTAACAAAAATCACATTATTATTTTAAAAATTATTATAAGAAGCATACTAAGAAAATTTTTTAAGAAACATCTAAAATTAGCATATTCGGCAATTTAAATCCATGTAGTATAATACCTGTTCATAATTCATTCTGAGTGATAATTCCATTGTAAACCCAGGATCGTTAGGTATTGTTTTATCACAGAAAGTCACTTCTACTCTGTAGAAAAGATCCCTAAAGAAAGATGTTTAGTTTATTGAATTATTGAATTAATTCTTATTAAAGTACAAATTTTGTGATAATGAAACTACATTTGAATTTAATGTATTTTAAAATTATTGAATAGTTAAATTAATCAAAATATATACCATATATTTTTCATCATTTATAAGAAATATGAATTATATTGAGATTATCTAGCAATATACAGGATATTTCAAAAATAATGGGCAAAAGTTTGAGGCATGGAAGAACACACTAAAACAAACATTTCTCATCACAGAATGCATGGTCAAATGTGAAGTGTTGAGATGCAGTCACAGTAACAACAAATGACATGGAATATGGAAAAAGAATCTTTAATAATGAATTACAGAAATTGTCCAAAAAGCATCTGCCAACCGCAATGCATGTTTCACAGCATTGATGGAGTGAATTGTGTACATTTTGGAAGATATCAAGCATCTCATGCATGGCTTTAGAAGTGACACTAATTCCAGCAATGAGGTTTAAATGTTGTCATGTACATGGCTTCTCAGCATTGGAATAACAATCTCTCTTCAGACATGAAGGTTGCAAAATGATGTGTGTGCAAAAAACACACTTTAATATGCTTGCAAAAAAAAAAAAAACCATCCTCTACCACCTTCACTGTTATGATTTGATCATACATTCCATGATAAGAAATATTTGTTTTAGTGTGTTCTTACACTCCTTAAGGTTTTACCCATATTTTCTGAAACATCCTGAATTTTATCACTATATATATATATATATTTATTTATTTAGTGAGATATAGTAAAAATAAGTACAGTAATACCCCGTACTTACGCAATAGGTGGGACCGAGCGATAACCGCGTAAGTCGGGGTATAATTTCGCAATTTGTGTAAAATCTAAGTCGGGTGTTTGTAAGCTAATAAATGTTTTCGTTAATCTTATCTCGTCTTTGATTCGTTTACGGTTACAAGAAATCACCACATAGAGTCTCTGAAGTCTCCGTAGATATAACAAACACAGAAATAAATAACACAAAATAAATTGTAGCTATGCATCAATTCCGCGCGACACATCCGAACATGTAAGCTGAACAATAGTGTGGGGGGAGTGAGTAATCAAGAGTTGCATGGTGCTCAAACAAAAGACGAATCGACGAGATTTGATAATCGCATAACTCTGGGTTCGCGTAAGTCGAGGTATTACTGTAATACTAAAATTTTAACTTCTATTTTTCAATATTATATCTCCAAATAAAGCCATTTTTAAAATTATTTATATATTTTTTCATTGAAAATAACAAAAACTTCATCTGTAATGCATTAAAACTATTATAATTATTGGCTAGATTACCAAATGTTAATTGTTCTTTTCGTTTGGTAAGCTCTAACTTTTAAAAATTTTAACTGATAGTTTTTTTACTAAAAATTTTTGAACAAAGTTAAGAAAAACTTTAATGAAAATCAAAAACATTTTAGAAAAAATAAGAAAAATTTTCTAGAAAGTTTAAACAGAAATGATTATATACTCTTTTATACATTCAAATATGTTCATAAAAGAAAATGTAGTAAATTTTAAAATCTATTTTTACATTTATTACTTATTTATTTATTTCAAGAACTGAAGAGAAGAGAATCCAGTAAAATTAAAATGCTTATTCTTATCTAAATAATGTAAATAAAACAAACGGTATCATAGCCTCGAATCGTTGTTCTTGTCTCATTCAGTTAAAAAAAGGCAATTTAAATATTTAGATATTTAGTCAAAGAATGTTTAATTAATTAATACTGATTAATATCCTGAATTTCCATTAATGGGTTACATACCATTTTTACATTAAAGCTTTATATATAATGCAATTAAAAGTGATAAAAATTCTAGTAAATTCTAGACAACATGATATTAGGAATCAAATTAAAATTTAAAACCTGAAGTAGTCATTAACGGTAGGTAATTCACAATCTTCAATGTTAATGTCAGCCCTCTGAAAAACAATGATGTCACCATCCATCAATTCTTCTAAAACTTTTTCTAAAGGCAATTCGAGATCACCTATCCTCTCTACCATATTTGGTTTTACTTCCTGTTAAAATAGAAAAAAATATATATATATTTTTGAAAAATAAGCATATATCTATTAAATATTATCAACTTATAATTATAAATGTAAAATTAAATCTTATGTAGAGAATGTGATGCAAGTTATTTCCACAAATTCCAAAAAATTAAATAAACAAGTTTTAATGTTTGATATCAATCATAAATAACAAAAGATCGCTTATGAATGACATTTACAATAATAAAATCAATACAACTTTCCTTATCAACTACTTTTTATATACTTTGGATATTTTGAAGTAATATAAGTTGCAAAATATAGAACAAAACTAAAAATATAATAAACCCTCTCCATAAAATTGTAGCATCTGTAGAAATTAAATAAATATATGACATTTTAAATATTGTTAAAAAGTTTTAGTAATGTTTTAAATACTATTAGCAAATAAATTTGATAATACTACAAAATTTAACATTATACTTTTTATTTAATTATTTTTTAAAACAAGTGTTACTTATATAAAAGAAACAATCAATGCAGAAAAATCTCTTTAAATCAATGATGATCAAACTTTAATTGTAATATTGAAGATAACTTTGTAAAATAATCTTTTGAAGTTATATTTAAATTTTATATTCAAATGTTTGTTCATATATGGAAATGTGACTCATGATCTGCCAAGGACAGATACCCCGGAAGAACTTTCTATGGGGAAATTGGTCCCTATTTAGGTCTTACAAATGTTTAGAAAACCTGGAAAATTCTATGTGGCTGGTCCACTGGCAATACGCAAACACATGACCAACTACTAGTGTTTGGTGGTTTTATCTACTTGGCCACTAGTGGGCTACAGTTTTAATGTTAATTAACTGTACAATGCAGAGACTGGCTTAGTATTTTGTTTTAATGGCTGACACATCCAATATATAATTTGAGTGTATACAATGGAAAATTTTTTAATTTATGTTATTATTTCTGGAAATACTATTCAATTATTCAGAATCTTAATCATGATTTCAAATGATCCTTCATGATTTTCTGCAAGTCTCTTTAAAAAAAATAATAAATAACTGTATAAGCTATACATATTAAAAAAATTAATGGCTAATTATTAAAAAGAAAATTCCATTTTAAATACTGAAAACTAATGATAACTGCCTGTTAATATATAAGAAATGATAATAAAAACTTTACTTAAACCAAATTGTTTAAATTTTGCTAAAAAGATGTCAATGAAAACTGAATGATTTCTAATGAAACACGATTATGAGAAAATAAAATTTTTTAAACTTATGCAAAGTGTATTATTATTATTATTATTTTAATTAAGATTATGAATATTAAACTTACTTCATATAATGTTAATGGGGTATCCAAAGGAAAACCTGCCTTTTCATTGAGAATGGGTACAAGTTCCTCTATTAAAATGAGTGAATGGCATATTAAAATTTTGCACATTTAATACAACAAAATAAAAAACAAGATCTGAAATTATTTTTATTAAAACAAACACAACTATACATACTTGCTTTTGCAGCAATTGACATGTAAGTATGACCACAGTAAGATATCCTCTTGTTCTTTGGATCATATAATTTGAAAAATAATAAAACGTCACCTGGAATTAAAATATAAAGTTATTATTTTGCAGAAATGAAATCAGAATATGTTTAAAGAAATGATTAATAAAGCATTACTTATGAAATAAAAGGACTTTTATTTAAGTATTCATATTTTAAACTTTGGCTATTTCCCAGAACATGAGAAAATGTACAAAAATTTAAAGAAAATCTACAAGCTAACCTAAGTTCCAACTGTCTACTTAAAAATCTGTTTGAATGCTTTAGTATTCTTTATTCCATAACTTTAATACTGTTATACAGCATAATAGTAAAGGCCTTATATACCCACATAACCGACGAACACAGATAGCAATAGTTACGTACTGTACATGACATATAGTTAAAGTGACTATGCACTAAAAGAAGAGGCCACTTATAACACCCTTAACAGTAAAATTTGGAAGTTCGCACTCCTATCTTGAAGACAACATGCAACATGAAAAAAGTCATGAAAATTTTTTGAAAATGGCATCAAAACTACTCTTTAAGCTGAAGATTAAAAGTATAATTTATTATTTCATCTTTAGCAAGCACAATCACTTTCCAACATCACTTACTTCACTCTTCATTCATGAAGAAAATTAATTCTATGATAATCATTATTTTTCATTTAATCTTATAAAACTAAAAGATCAAAAAGATTACTAATGATCACTAAAATTTTAAGAAGTAAATTTAGTTTCTTACTTTCTTTATCAAAATCAGGTAAATGATCCTTTCCAGAATCAGGCTGTACTGTTTCTAAAAATAATGTCCATGGATTTGCATTATCAGCCAAATCTATAATCTAATATAAAAAAATAAAATGATGTTAATTATTCACATACTTCAAGATATTACAAATTAAAATTTATATTATTTATTAAATATTTAACTTGTGTTATCAGTGATATAGTTTGAAAAATAGCTTTATAATTAAAATATTTAGCCATATTACACAAAAACCAGACTAAAAAACTTTATAAACTTGAACTGGAAGTGATGCATATTTTTACATGCAAATACATTTCCAACATCACTTACTTCATAAAGCATGAGTGACATGGTTGGAGGCCATTTGTATATGTTACCAGCCAACCCCAATTTCAGGCTAAACTAGTTTATCCTACGCATGTCAGAATATACTAGTTTAGCCTAAATACTTTAGGCTTAACTAGTTTGACCTAGGCCAAACTGATTTATGTACTACAAATAGGTGCCAGTGTAAAAAAAAATTTTGTGTAATTCGAAATGCCACCACAGTACACCCGGTGGTTAAAGTGTACCTAGGTAACCCCAATGGCGGTGCTTTGGTTAGGTTGGTTTGGTTTGGTTTGGTTAGGTAAACTACATTTTTAGTAGACGTTTCCTTTTTTTTTTCTTTTGTTCGAGAACTACCATGAATCAATAATTAGTGACATTAAACAATTGGTGGCTCCCCTCTAGGAGGAGTCTGCCGGGAGCACAAACAGTCCAAAGTGCCACCATTGGGGTTATCTAGGTACACTTTAACTTACCCTGTAAAATTAAATAAAAGATTAAATATTTTATATGTTACGCTAAGAAACACAAACAAGTTCATTTTTAATTTTAGTTTGACTCTAAAGCCCTGGTCACACTATGCGATTTCCAGCCGCGCAGGCGACTGCAACCGCGACGGCTGTTCCCGTTAACTAGTAATCCCCCCTCGAAAACCGGTTCGACTGCAATCGCAACTAGAAACAAAAAGTTTGTTCTACTCGCGACGGTTGCAAACGCGCATCCAATCAACAAACGCCTTTATGCCATGTCATACAGTGACAACATTGAAAATAGTTCATCATCATGGCGGATAGTCAGAGGATTAATACTTTTACAGAATCGAGATTGATCGAGCTTATTCAGGCTCACGAATACCTGTGGGATTTTAATTCTTCGTTTTATCGAAGATTTTATGCTTTCATGTATTTTCGCCAGCTCTATTAAAATAATCGCCTTTTTTCTTTTATTCATTCCAGAAAATGAACTGCTTGCTATTTTAATAAGAAAAGTGGCTAAAATTCCGTAAATACTCTGAAATAGAACGTAAAATATCGGCAAACTCACGAAAGTAGTCAAAAACAAACTACTGTAATTTTATTGGTTTATTACAGGGCCACGTGTTTCCGAGTTGCAACGTCAACGAACAATGTGTGACCACGAGAAGACGCGCGCGACTCGCGCTTCTTGCAGTTGCAGTCGCCTGCGCGGCTAGAAATCGCATAGTGTGACCAGGGCTTAAAAGTTATTTTTATTATTTCGTTTGAATTTTTGAAAATATTTTCGACAGTTAATTACCTTTAAAAGTGCATGGCTTAATAAAAAATTTAAAAAAATACAAACTGATAAGTACTGATTAACTTATTTTTATTTTATAGTTTTGTACAAGTGTTGTGTCACTTCTAATCAAAACTGTTTTTTATAATTAAGTAGACTATGTTTGAATAGATATTGTTCATGTAATTCATTGCCTTTTAATTTTATTTTAACCATTAATATACTTAAATCAGGCCTGGCTAACCCGCGGCCTGTCACATTAAATTGTGTGGCATGCTAAGTGACATTATATATCTATTAAAACTTTCATTTTCCGTTTTGTGTATACCAAAACAATTAAATAAATGAAAATTTGCATGTGTCATTGTTATAATGCGCAGGTGCAAGTACGAACTCTTGGTATAACAATGAAATCTTATTCATTTTGTATTTGTTTTACTTTTTAAAAAGCATGTTTGCTTAAATTGTGGCCCATTGTAATGTTATGCTTGATCAAAGTGGCCTGCGAAACAATTTGGGTTGGCCAGGCCTGACTTAAATAATAATTCTAAAATCAGTTCAGCCTAGGTCAAACTAGTTAAGCCTAAAGTATTTAAGTCAAACTAGATTGTCCTAGACTAAACTAGTATATCCTGACATGCATAGAATAAACTAGTTTGGCCGCTAACATATATACAGATCTAGCCTCACAGACACATGTATCAACTACAAGGAGAAATTGACTATCCATAGCGTGGCAAGCACTAATGGACAACGAACTGTAAATCTCAACAATTGCTACCAGATAGTGTGTGCATGCCCAGTAGGACGACATCAAGAAACACGTATTCGAATCAAATTTCAAATCATGTTGTTGGTTGCTTAAACATCAACATATTTAATGGATTACTTTTGTATTGTCAATAAAGTTCATTGACAATACAAAAGTAATTGCAAAAGCTTGTATGCACATTTGAAAAGATCTTATGTATAGATTGTGAGAAGTCTTTTAACTTGCAATAGCAGAAATTTTTATGAGCACTTTTCACCAAATTGTCTTACTTAGATGCACTCTCAATATATGCTATCCATCTACAATGTAAAACTTTTGATCAAACTTTTCTGCATATCACAGGCACTCTAAAAACAACTGCAGAAAATTACAGTCTTGCATTAATTCCATATAATTTTTTTCCACATAATCATGTGCACTTGTGTTGATTTTCTGCTCTGACATCATGGAGGTATCTTGCAACTGTTGCAAGAGGTAGTCACGATGTCATGGATGCTCCTCAGCCATCCATAATATGACACAGCAGTCTGCAAGTCACTACGACCAACAATTTAAATGTTCCTGCAACTTTATCTGGGAAACATCTCGGCCCACCCATCATTTACTTTCAGCTGAACTCATTTCACATTAGTCCAGGCTATTGCAGTTTAAATGACTCCCTGTAGAAGCCTTGAAAGGACATTGTTCTATAAATTGAATACTATCTTGCCAGTTTGCAGACTAAATTTTTAAGAAAATCTGTAACTAACAATTAGCAGTTTATCTACCAATTTTTAAATTAAAAGAAAACAGAGTTAAACAAGTCTTAATTTTTAACTGCTACTTTGAAATCTGCTCTAAATATATTGTAAACAATCTAAACTTGATCATCATATAACCAAAATTAACCAAGATAATGCTAAATTAATTTCTTTGTAATGTATTAAGAATTAGAAGTAAAATTTTAATATAAAAAAAGCTTAAAACTTAATTAGTAATAATTTATTGAAAAATTAACTCACTGTTTTATCTAAATCCAATTCCATATCCAGAGCTAATGGACGACATGTCTGATTAGTTCTGTATGTGATTGGCCAAGGCCTGATCATAGAGATAGGATATTTCTGAAAGAAAATTTATGTGAAATGAATCCATTGATTAACAGTACTATGATTATTACTAAAATTTTCATTCAAATTGCATTATTGTTTTTGATACTTTACTGAATTAATAGCATACTCAAACTTTACGGTTGTGGAAATCCATGGAAAAAATTTATCCACACATTAAATTGTTACTGGATTACAAAGGAAAATTTACCATAGAATATGAAATTAAACAGGGCTAAAATTGTGAGGGGAACCTCAAATTTTGATACAGGCAACACTATTAAATTATAGTTGATTACTTATTCTATTTACAATCAAAAATAAAAATGAAAATATAAACTTTTTATTCAAAAAAATAAAAACTAATGGTGTTGTAAATCCAGTGCATTTTTGAGTGATTTATCAAAAAAAATTCATCATATATAATTTGATAATTATAAAGAGATGGCAGCATTCCATAACTGTAAATAAAGGGATAATTTATATCACCATTAATTGTTGCAATACCTCTACCCATTTTTTAAAATTATTTAAGTTCTAAATTGCCTTTGAGTGTGACCAAATCAGGGAACTACATAAGGCTGGAAGTTCTGCTAGAGCTATTGCAAAACAGCTGAAGAGATCTCATTGTATTAAAAATTTAGTGTACAATATGGAAAGAAAAAACAAATAGGATGGCTTCCAAGTTAACAAGAAAGTAAAAATCAGCAATTATCTGGAAAATATCAACAGCAAGAACATTACTAGGTGAAATAGCACAAAGACCTGATGTTAAGTTTCCAAATCCACACTTTTCCAGATGGTAGTAAAATCAACAAAACATCTAGTGTATAAAAATAGAAAAGCAGCAGTGCCATATCTAAAACAATACCAACAACAAAAAAGGCCAAAGATAAAATGTCACGGACTTCAAAATGGTGTGAAGTTATTTGAACCAATAAAAAAAAAAGTTCAATTTGGATGGTTTCCCAACAGTTTGCAATTTTAGGAGAGAGGCATTTTTGTTTACCAAGTGTCAGCAAGAAGGGGAATCAGTTATGATTTGGGCAGGTTTCGGATGGTCCATAAAAATCAATTTAGCATTTCTAAATAGCCAAATGAAAACAGTTGGGTATCAAACCTTGATGATGTATACCTTCTACCATTTAGAGAAAAAGTTGACAGTTAATTCTGGCAATTGTAACAAGAAAATGCACTAATTCACAATATAAATGTCACTTATATGTGTTTACTGGCTAATGGCATTCAGGTCATGGATTGGCCTCCTAATCCCACAGAAAATCTATGGAGTTTGACAATTAAGCATATGTATGCAGGAGGAAAATACCACAATATTGAAAAAAATCAAAGCTGTAATTGTAATTAAAGGAAAAAAATCAATTTAAATATACTGCAGCATCTTGTTAACTCTATGAAAGAGTTTACAAGGTTATTGTGTTAAAAATGGTTTTTCACTCACTATTAAATGCCACTGGCATTATATATTGCAACATCATTATTGAATTTTTGAATAAAGAAATTTATTTTTACTTTTATTTTTAATTTGTAAATAAAATAACTAATTCTTTTACATCTACATTTATTTGAGTCATTAATTTTTTGCTTAAGTGTGATAAAAATTTATTATTCCAAAAAGTTGGGGTGGCCTTATATTTTTGCAATTCACCTTATTTAAAATGGCCTTCATCTAAAATACTATAGATGAAAAAGTCAAGATCACTCTTGGTTGTAGCAGATGTGATGCAAAATCTGTGCCATTTTCTGATAAAATAAAAAGCACTTTTGATAGCATATTAGTATAGCATTTTGATTACACATAGTGTAAAAATGAAAATTACAGACTTCCTTTAACAATAATAAATGGCTATTCTGAATAGGGGTTATGATTATCGATTCTGTCATTAAGTTATACTTTGGCCATTTGTTCAAGACAGCACTAAACATATTAATGTGTCACACTATGGAAACAATTAGTGTGCGAGCAACAGAGTCGAGTCTGGATTGACTCAACTGTGTGTTTAGGGATTTGTCTTCTTTTCTTTTAATATTTCATCAAATTTTTCAAATTTCAAGCTAATCTCTCTTTATCTATTGCTTCAGTTGATGCCGAAATTGCAGTGAAAAGATAAGGACATTAATTTTTTACAGTCCTTTACTGGTCCAAGAATTATATAGTAAGCATATATGATTTTTCCTATTTGTTTACGTTAGTTTCACATCACAAATGTAACGTTATACAAAAGTAAAAGCACCTGCTTTATTTGTTGTAGCAACAAAATTAATGTTCTACTGGCTTCTAAGTGTAAGTATTATCCTATAATAGTTCCCTCCAGAATAATTATGCACATATGAGATTTCCATATATTATCAGATTTCAAGGACACTTAGTTCAATCCACGATATCTCAGCTAATAACACTCCTGCTGTGATTTTAAATTTTAAACCCAGTTGATAACAAACAAGAGTATTTTTTGTCAATTTAAGTTTCACTTATAGCAAAGTGCAATACTGTGATAAGCATAATTTTACCATATCCACTGTAACTGCTTAATTTAATCAATCTCTCAATAGAAATTTCACAGAAGTCAATAGGTATGTAACAATTTTTAACACAGTTATAAATATATCACTGAATCTGCAGCAATAAACACAGTTTTCTTCCAATGTTCTCGTCTCATTTTACAGCCTATCAAAACTTACTTTGTGGATGCACCTTGTATATTTAACACACCAGAACTGAAACCATGCAATGCATATGCCACAGAAACCAAAACAAAGTGACTGTGTAACACACTATAACTGTACTACAGCACACCAAATTCAGAATTAGCCAGTTTTCTGGAAGCCAAACATTTGGTCTGGTACTGTATTATAATGTTAATACAGTTTATTTGATTTAGATTTTGAATTAAAAAATACTTTACATTTGAAACAATCTTTTATGAAAAATATTCATATTAATCACATTCATCGTGGGTTTGGCCAGACCCACAATAGGGTCAGCCAAGTGACAAGGGACAGGACCCAATATATCTGTGCCAGACCACCCAAAAAAATTTCTGAGGAATTGTTCATCTAAATTTACTCTTAGGTTTCTAAAGCAATGGGTCCATGCCTTATCTTCATTGGCCACACACAAAAAACATACTAGAAATTATCAGAAAAACTTTCGAATGTTATCATAGTATTATTCTTCTCTTTTTCAGACAGACGATTATTCAGACAGAGCACTTATAATTCGGTAACTTTTTTTAAATATAAAAAATAAATTAATTGCATTTTATGTTGATGTTTCTCAAACTGAAAAAAAGACAATTATTTTTTTTAATACAGGAAACAAATAGAAGTTAAATATTTTGTATTTCTATGCATAAATACTTAATTACTTTTCTGCATAAAAATTAAATGCATTTCTTTCAATGATCTTAATGTATATAAATTACTTTTAACAAACAGTATCTCATAAGAATTATGCAATTGTGTACTACACAATCTTATTCAGTCTAAGTAAAAATATTTATTAGAATTAAATCAAATTGCTAATGATGTAACTGATTTACATATAAAAAAAAAAAAAGGCTAAAGATACTTACCATCTGTTCTGATAAAAGTTCCATTAACTCGCGTAATGTAGCAACCTTTTTCACCCGAAATACTCTAAATCAATAAAACAGCAAATTTTTACTTACAAATATGAAATAAACTGCCGGAATTATATTTATATATAATTTGTGTCAACCATTAAAAAATCAATTAATATAACAAACTTATACATTAATTTTTTTGAAACTTCATTACATAAGAGAATTATTTTATCATCAAAAACTGCTAGGAAACATTATTGTATCATGTGATCGCAAATTTAATTTTTAATATCTAAAATTAGTAAAATTTATAGGTATTTTTTCTAATCAGATAACCCCAAAATCACATTTTTAATTACAAATATTTACTCCGTATATTTATAAAGAGCAAAAAATTTGATATTAAACCAAAATTAACAAAACAGTTTTTTGTTCTAATATAAATAAATATCATTAGTATTTAGTATTATTAAATTATTATGGAAAGCTTGCTGATTTATTGAAATTTTATCAGTACATTTTTGCTGTTTTATTTAATTTGAAGGTATTTATAACTTTACTCGAAACTGCTAGCAATTTATTACATTTGAGATTATATTGTTAATCTTTATATTTAGAAATGTTAATGTAAACTTTAAATTTCCAATAAAATCTAAATCTACTCATGATTCTAAAAGCTAGCTAGCTATCAAAGCATAAATTTAATCATATTTGAAATTCATAACATTTTTTTAGATTTGTATATAATTCAAAAGTTTCCCAAGAATTCAAAAAGTTTGCAGGCATGTAAGCAAGAAATGATACATAATTACCTTAATATAAAAACAAACTAGAATTTAGTTTAATTGAATATGTATTTATATTCAGCAATAATTTTTTACTTTTAAAAAGAATAATACATTTTTTCCTTTACTTTTATTTGACACATGCACAAATGAGAAAAAATAAACAGCATAAAAATTATGAAAATCCTATATATATAGAGTTTACATTCAATGTTGGAAGTTTAAACATACAAGGTTTAGTTAGAATCTTTATGCCCACTATTCAAGTTTATTTTGATGCCATTTTTATACCATCAAAATGAACTTTAAAGGAAAGCTGCCTTGGAGCAACATTCATCAATTATCAAAATCTACCAACAGAGGGACTGTAGCTGTCATGTTTTTAAACTTACAGAAATAGCATGAATAATTCTCTTAACAGGTAATGATGTCAAAACAAAGATGAAATGAGAATTAAAATGTTTGTAGTTGACAATAATGAAAAGTTTTAGATCTGTTACTTTCCTGAAATCATCTGGTTCAAGTGCATGCTTATTATTCATAAGTTTTGTACAATTCAGCTTTTCTAAAAATGAGAATAGCTACCCGTAATTTGTATGCAAGCAATACAATAACCATGTTTATGTTATCCAATCATGCTCAATAATAAAAGCCACAAAAATTATATAAACTATATAATTCAATTTAAATAATTTAGAAAACAATTCCAAGATGTCAATATGAAATGAATATTTTTATAATAATTAAGCACATGACACAATTAAACAGAGTTACCTATATTTAAGTACAATACTTATTTTACCTGAAATTAATTTTTTCTTGATCAAAAAGATCATTTCCTTGATGACCAGCAAAATGATCTTCGGTTACAATTTGAACATTCATATAAAGATGAGCTTCATTTCGTTCCTTTCTACGTAATGCTTCTTGTCTCCTGTAGCAAGTTTGAAAAATAGTTATATCAGATTTCCTACATATTTAATTTTAGATAAAATAACTGCATTATGTGAATAAATAAAATTTCAAACATTAAATGCAACTAAGATGTATACACATCTGCTGTAAGTATAATAAAGTGTACATTACACAACACTTTCTTTTATATATAAATATTAATTTAACTTTACTTCTCTAAGAAGCATACAAAAATTTCTTTACATAACAATCTTTTTGGATCCCACAGATGAGGCTGTCTTAGCAGCATTATAGGCCCCTGGATAAAGCAATGCAATGGGGCCACTACCTGTAATCATCAATAGAATTTATCAATGTTCCCAATAAAATCAGTGTTTAAACATTTAAAAAAAAAAAAGCTTCAATAATATAATATGAACCAACAGCCAGATGGCCAAACGATCAAGGTGGCAGCTTACTGCTCTGGGGACCTGGGATAGAATCTGGATGGGTCAAAAAATCCCCAGGAATTTTTTGCAGATGTGGTCCATCCAGATATGTTGGACCCACTCAGTCGTCCCATTGTGGGCCTGGCCAAACCCATAATCGGCTTGCTATAAGAGGCCCTATTAATACTCACAGGGCAGAGAGTTAAAATATATATGTGAGAAGCCAAAAGCAAAGGATATTACCTTATACCACTTAATCAGTAACAGTTCGGTAAAAACCACCCATTTAGTAAACGGATGGCTTATAATAGAAAATTTAAGACTAAAGAGAGTGAAATCTTAGTCTAGTCAGGACTGACACCAGATAAGATAATATATTCGCACCCTAACTCGCAATATTAAGATTAAAATAAAATTTAAAAAGGAGATCTATAAATACTACAAGTAGGGAGATCGTGAGGAAGTTCAATAGGAGGTCTGATATTTAACTAATATGAGAATTTACTTCCAACTTAACAAGTATAAATATATTTAATAAACAAATAAAATTAAGAATATAATTGAATATAATACAATAATATAGAGGTCATTAACCTATCTAACTATAACCATATTAATTTATATTGAAAGTTTACAATATTTAATAATATACCTCTATGACACTTAAATCTTGAACTTGTACAGACAGAATTTGAGAATCCAAAGGGGAGACCAGACACAAAATCGTGCGTGTTGACAAATAATTGTAATTTATTAATCCGCCCAGAATTTAGCGCATATAACCCTTTTATACAGAAAAATATTCTCCAATCAGGAGAAGAACTCTTTGTCATCTGACCAAGATGAAGTTAAATCAAAACTTAGTCATAGGATGTGATAAACTTTTCTAAAGGTAGTAAACTGATGGGAAAGGAAACTGTATTTCCTTGTTTTCCCTTAATTTACCTCAAAATTTGTAAACGTGTACAATTTTAGTGACAAAATATTATATCAAATTTTATAATTTTATAAAAATAAATGAATCTCAAATTCAGATTCTTACATAATATATATAAAATATGAAACTTGAAAACAAAAATTTCAGCATATAAATTATACTCAGTAAATCATACAGACAGAAATAGCACAGTACAAGATCAATAACAATTCATATTAATTAAGTGTTCAACACAAACATTTGTGTAATTTCTTTGCAAAGAACTGCTTTATAACAGCCATCTTTAAGCAGAGACATACATGAGTTAAAGTCAATGCAAATGCTGCTGACCCATTGTGCTGCAAAGTTGATGTTTTATAAGTTTGTCTTGAAAATGAATGTTTTCCTGCACAGTTGGGCCATCATCCTGCATACAAACACCCCCAATTTCTAGATTGCATTGAAACACAATTTCATATTCCTCAAAATTATTTTTCTGTACAATGCAGCCTTACAATTTTCATCCATTAAATTAGCATGTGGCCTCTAGGAAACTGCCCAACATGCCCATGCATTAAGATGGCCTGACCACAAAGCTTTCTGAATACATAAATTACTTTTTAGTCCTATAGATTGAAACTCAAAAATATTTCAATACCAAAACTTTCACAATGCATTCTAATCTCTGAATTAGATTCATACATTAATATCATTTAACAAGCACTACCATCTTGACAAAATGATATTGTACTATAAATAAATTTCCACAGTTATTTAATAAGATAATGTGAAATTTCATTAACAAAAGAAAAAAAAACTTAAAAAATTAACATATATTTCATTTGATAAATAAATATTTTCAGTATTTTATATATAATCCTTGGAATGAAAAGCGATTTCATTTTCTATTCCAAGGATGAGGTATAAAATACAACATTAGAATGTCAATCATTTTATCTAATATTTATTTTATACACAAAAAAAAACATGTTTGCATATTTAAAAAATAATATATTTCACTTAAATTTCATTTACAAGAAAAAAAATCTAGTATATAAAATGAGCTTTGAAAAAATTTTTGGTGATATACTTATGTTGTTATATATTGAAATTAAATACTTTCCTTTAAGATAAAAAAAAATTAATTTACCGTTCTTCTTGAAGCCTTTCTATTAACTGCTCAGGAATATCTTGTTCAGTTACTGACTGTAACACTTCATCTAATAAAAGAAGAAAACTTCTATAATTTCACATATAAGAAACTTCAAAATAACTTAACAGTTTTCAGTTTTTTAAAAAGTTTCTAAACTCTAAAGGAATTATTTTATTTTCTAATTACTCTTAATGAAATACAAATAATAAAATTATAGTTATCTCTAATAAAGTATTGTGTATTTATTTTTTATGAAGTAAATTAAATTTTGTTTTTAGTAATGTTTTATATCATATATATATATTTATTTTTCAAACTTAGAGAAGACAAAAATGGTCTAAAATACACATATTCTGGTATTTTGAAAATTTGCAAGAAAACAAGTCATAACATTGATTTCTCTCAACATATTAAATTTTGTTACCCAATTAGAATTTTCACACAGCTTTGTTTAGAAGAAATTTGTTAACTATTATCTGTCAATTTTTATAACAAACATCAAGAATATCACATATATGTTTCAATTACCCAGTTCTAATATGTACAATTTTTCTAAACTATCTGTAACTTTTGCTTTTTCAATTTCTGATAATTATTATTTAACTTACAACTTTATTTTTGTGACATGTTTAGTAAAACTAAAAAGTTTCATATTACATTAATTGCAATTTTCATTTCTGTATTTGATGAAGCTCTGTCGATTAACTTTACTCTGTTGATAAAGGCTAATTATACAACAAACAAAAGTTTATCAACCTGCAAGTTTAACTGACTAATCTTACAGAAATTTCAGCTTTGTTAAGTTTATTTAATAAACTGAAATTTTATATGTAAAAATCACAGATATTTTAATGTCTAATAATAATACTGTATACTTACGAATTGCACTATCTCTAATATAAACTAACATGTAAGCATTTGTGCAATGTTTTACTGTAATGTCATCTTCATTCCCTCCGAAATTGTGATCAATTGCTTCTTGTTTCGTACACCGAGAAACAACATCGTCGTCAAACTTACACCACTAAAATTTATTATGAACGAAATTATTACTTATAAAACAATTATTATATAACATATAAACAAAATTATCAATTACCTTATTATCACCTTTGGGATTAATGAACACTACATAATGACCACCATGGTTATCTCCACTATGAACTAAAACAGCATGAAGTGTATAGTCAGCAGGAGTAGATTCAGAATGCTGAAGGAACTCTTCTAAATTAAGCTTCTCTGGAAATTCAAATCTGTAATGTTTATTAAAAAAGACTTAGTTATTGAAAAAAAATTATTGTGAACATCAGGGCTTTGAAGTTGGTAAAAAAACTCTCAACTCCAACTCCTGATAATTTTAGTAGGTCAACTTCAACTCTGGCAAAATTAAATACTAAGTCATTTTATGGGAGGTAGATGCACTTGTAAAGAGTTACCCTACTCTGAACTCTGAAAGGACGGGGTTCCTTCCTTTCAGAGTTCAGAGGAGAATTTACCCAAATACTTTTATAGTTAGTATTTTTAATATTTAACTTACATTAATATTTATTTGTATAAAAAAATTTAATTTTTAACAAATATTTAATAAGAGGAAAAAGGGGAAGCAATAAAATTCTACATCTACATATCTTTATTCTACAGCTTTCGCACTTCAATTTCACCTTTCCAGAAAAGTTAGTTCAACTAAAAAGTGTGCGATCTAGCTACTTCAGCCCCTTGTTAAGAAAAAAAAAAATATATATATATATATACACTTCGATCAATTAGTCAGGCTCATTCAGAAAAATAGAGTACTTATTTAGAGCAGGGATAAGAAAGGAATAAATCAATAATATTCAAATTCAATTGGGTCAAAATAATTTAACTACTAAACACATATACTACAAAGAAAACTATTTATACATATTTAATAAATTAAATTGTTGCATTTTGTATTTAAAATAAATGAATTATAACAAAATACAAATACATTTTAAAAAATTAATAAATATAAAATAAATTTTCTTTCATTTAAATAAATAAAAAAAAACTAAATTAAATTTAAAATGCCGGAGTCGGAGTCAACGCATTTTCCCGACTCTGACTCCTATGGCCAGAAGTCCCCCCCGACTCCACAGCCCTGGTGAACATATTTGACTGTTAACACTGGCAAAATTAGTAGGGGGAGAAAATTAAATTCAAATGCTAAAAATGTTAAAAATTCTTAAAAAAAAAATTAAGATGTTCTAAAACTGTTTGTAAATTTCTAAGCCAATGGTGATCTTTTAAGAGGATGGAAACATTTCTCGATAAAACTTGATTTTAATTCCCGAATTTCGCAATTTTTCTAATAATTTAGAGCATGGTGCCAAGTATGGCTGCATTTCTTTATGTAGTGAGAGTATAGTGAAAACATCATCACGAGCAGCTATTGCTATATGCTGCCATTGAATAATGGCATATCACCATCAAACATTGAAGTGTAAGTGACATTTTGCAAGTTATTTCATAGTAATGGGACATTCCATCTGAATAAAACAGCACTTTGGATCTGGTGAAACTTAAAAAACATCCCGTATAATCCTTCATTTCATAATCTATTAATAGTTTTGGCTTCAATCAATAATTTCAATAACTCAAATCAATATATTTTAACTTTATTAACAGAAAAATATAACACTCCTTAAATATTAAAATTTAAATCACCAAAATACATATATCAAGGTCTAAGTTTTAATCCTACCTGTCATTTATCTTTATATTCGTATCAGTAAGAGGATCATACTGAAAACGTAATAAATGAAGATGCAAAACTGGTGGAAAAGATTCAAATATTATGCCCTTTTCTGCTTCCTGTAAACCATAATCACTAGCATCATATTTATTTTCACCTTCTAATGATTCAACAGCGCAATAATCTTTAAAAGATTCAAATACTGTAAAAGAAAATTTGAAATAAAATTTTAATATTAAATTATTTAAACAGATAATATAAAAAATATATATAATTAAAACTTACTATTTTTTTTCCCTTTAACATTTAATTGTACATCATAAAATGGTTCAACTCTAGTAGAAGTATAATTCACATGTTTACAACGTATAAATGACTATTAAAAGAAAAAAAGAAAAATTAACACACAATTTAACTAATCAGTAATTCATTTAAAAGATATTCCTAATTTTTTAATGTAAATTATCTTAATACAATTTTTATCATGTGTAATATTGTAATTCATGAATATTTATGAATTATAAAATACAAAAAAATGATCTATTCTCACATAATTCATGTTTAAGTACAGGTTAAGCATTATAAAAATTTATAAGTAATAGTAAATGATGGATAGTAATTTTATTAATTAACAGGAAAGAACACTCAATAAACTCAATACTGTGCAATCAAAAATTCTAAATTGTTCATATCACTATAATAAAATTATTAACTTGTTACGTTAATACACTAGACCCCCCTATAACATGGTAGATACGTTCCACTTCATAAGAATTTCACATTGTAGGAATCCTTAAATATATGAGCCAATTGCAGCCCGACACATGTGAAGTTTACAGACTACGACTGTTTGAAAGGTTTTCTTCCATAAAATTAATTGATTCTAGACTAATTTGACTCAACATTTCCAAAACACGTATAATGTTTTGGGAATAATCCGTATAAACTATGCTATAAACAAAAAAATGTAGGATTACTTACCAAGTGTGCACCGTTCGACTACGCCATTGCTTAAGCTTGTTTTCGTCGCAGAGCAGCGCACCAAACGGCGACCGCGATTTCTGATAAGTTATTTTTCTGCGAAAAATTCATTGACCTTTGGAGACATCATTAATATAAATAATTTTTTTTGCCGTTGAATAAGAAATGTTTCTTTCACAAGAAATGAATAAAATTACAGTGCTGTATTAGACTTACGATACCTAATTTACATACTGTACAGACGATAATAAACTCAACTTACTCGCCTAAACTCTCCGTAGGGTGGGCATGGACGGCGGAAAGTATATATATAATTATAATAAAGTTAAAATAAATTAAGTTAATATATAATTATATATACAGTACCTAATTTATATAAATACTGTACAGATGATAGTAAACTCAACTTACTCGCCTAAACTCTCTGTAGCATGTAAGTAGTTTGGCTGCTCGTCTACTATTGGTCCAGATTCGACCAATCCTGTCGCGACACGAGTCAGCGACAACGTTTAACAGTCCCTTTTAGCGTCTTTATACAAATATTGTCACAATTTTTTCGCCACGTTATAGGAATCTCCGTTACAGGAGGGTCTACTGTATTAGCATAAGGTTAATGCAATAATTTTTGCATAAAATATAAATCTGTAATTGATTTCTCTCTTCTGCATCTCGGGTATTTTTCCTTATATTAATTTTACAACTTTGTTCAACATAATTGTGCAAATCTAAGATCTAAGTAACTAACACCTTTGGATCATATTACAAGATTTGATTAATAATTTAAAATCCTATAATTTTGTCTCAACAATATAAAAAATTAACTTTATATACTATTTTATGATCATTTTCTTCATATAATATCTCTATGTATATTAATACACCAATAAAATTTTGAAATACCATAACAAGAAATTATATCTGTGTTAAGAATTTTTGAATGACACAATATCATACCTTCAGTAAACAAAAGATTAAGTCTAAATCATAAATATTCTATATAAAGGAAATATTCTATATAAACTCTCAATATATTCAAAAATAAAAGTTTCAAATTTGTGTAGTAAAAACAAAATATAATTTTTTGTTTACTTTTTCTATTCTACATTCAGAATTTTATATCTATCAAAAATAAAAATTCATAAAACCCAGTTAATTTAATACAGAAAAACACATGTAATTATTTTCTTGATTATAAAATCTTTAGTAATTTTGCTTCACAAGCCTGAAGCATTTCACTGTAATGAATAAAATATAAATGCTTTAAAGAATTTCAGGTGTCAGTAATTTATTCAGATACAACGTTCTGCAATATCTTTATCATCTCGACTTCAGATCCCAAAGCCAAGATATGGTCTTTCCAAGGCAGAGAAAGAACTAGAAACATATCACACAGTAGTAACATGCAAGTTATGGATGTATGAAATGTATTTTCTCAGTCAAGCATGAAGAAATATTGCAGATTCACAGTTGCAAAAGTGTCCAGTTGGAGCACAATGCCGAGACAGCAAAGATCTCAAAAATAAAGGTAATAAAAACTGATCACAATATTTCATCTGAATAAATTACCAAACCCTTAAAATTTCTTCCAGCTTTTTTTTTTTTAATTTTTGGAGATGATGAATCAACAGTACTTAGTTATAAAATTATTTGAATATTATTATTCATAAAATAATGATTAAGAAATGTATTTAATTCTTGAAAAAATTGGATTCAAATTATAAATAAAAATAAAAAAACTTTCAAAAAAATAATACATTATCATTTATATTCACTTACAGTCATTTTTCCTTCAAATAGTCTTGGAATTGTACCTTCAACACAAGTTCCTTTCATTTTACTTTCCATATTATCTAACAACTAAAATTACAAAAATAAAGTTACATGAAAAAAAATAGTAAATATTTTAATATAGTTATATAAATATGTATGAACTTTTCATAATTTATAATAACTAAAAAGTAGCCACTTGTACAGTACTTTAAAAAAATCAAAGTACAATGAAATGTCAAAAATTCAGACTAACTGGGGCCAGACACTGAACTAGATTTTCAAATATACATGTAAATTAAATTTTGTATTAAGTTTTGAATCATTTTAATATGAAAATTAACAATTACTTCTATCCCAAAATTAGATTACAAATATCTATTTGCTTCTTGATTATTTCCTACAAATATATTATTAAACACATATAACAACAAGTATGAATATACAAATAGTATTGTTTGAATTTTTAAAACACACACAATCAAGTTAATATCCAAAATCAATGATAACTTTCTAGCAAAACAATAAATAAACCCAACAATATTTTAGAAATCCCACAAGTTAACAATAACCTCTGACACTATACAATTTAAAAAGACCAAAAAATTTTCTAATTTAATACATCAAATGATCCAAATCTAAGTAAATGAGAGCATTCAAATTATTATTCTATAAATTTTCACCGGAGATTCATAAAAATATTTTATTGTAGACAATAAAATATTTTTATGTTTGTATTAGTATTGGTATATATTTTTCATCATCAATATGATTTATTTCCCTCAAATGCTATATAAAATGGTAACAGGATTCAAATATAAAACAAATCCATAAATTATTTATTAATTTATAGTTTATAATTTGGTAAACTGGAAATATCAGATAATTAGATTATATATACAAATGTCAAACTTTATTTTTATGCCAAGAGATCTTAAAATCCATACTAAATTTTTCTATATTAAAAATGCCTTGAGGAAAAAAAAAGAAAGAAGGATTCAACATTAAATGAAACAACTGAAAATTACATAGATCCACTAAAATACCTAAAGCCAAATCAAATAATATACATCAAGCAGTCAAAATTAAAAATGTTAACAATATTTTTAATATATTTAATTTATTAATTTCAGCCACAACTAATTATCCTGAAAAATGTAAACTTTCAATTTTGGTTTCAATAAAAGCTAATAATAATAAACCTCTAAAAGTCACTCTGAATTTGACACTTTGAATACTTTTTAAAATACAGTTAAATGACAACCATTCAACATCCTTTATTCAATTCTTTACTCTGGTAAACACATCAGTCAAACTGCATTTTGGACTTGAAAGCCCCCTCTTCAGTTGACTCTAATACTAAAACAATACTAAAACTTTAAAAATAAAAGAATAGTATCCAAATTTAGTACTAGAGTCAACTGAAGAGGGGCTTTCAAGCTAAACATGCATTTTGTATGATATATTGACAAGAGTAAAGAACTGAATAAAGGATGTTGAATAGTCCAGTATCTTCAACCAACACTTTATTGCATTTTAAATAGTGTATAAAGAATATAGGCACTGTTCCAAATAAGGAGAAATCAGTGATATACCTTCAGGAAGGCTTTGAGAAACAAAACTGTTGAATTTAAAAGTGCTCAAAAAAACTTTCTGATTGTACTTTTTATTATTTTTTTAGTAAGTTTAAAATTCAATTATTTTATCAGACAATTAATATATTTTTATTTTTTACTTAACAAATAACAGACTTCAAAGTATGTGCAATTTCTTGTTGTAAATTGCACATTATATACAATTTACTGTAATTAAAAAACAAAAATAAAGAACATTCTTTACGCTTTACATGGTATTCCTGTATTAATATCCATAAGAAAAGTATGAAAATAAAAATACATGTGAAGCAATAATTCAATAAACATCAATAAATTTGTAGAAATAAAAATAATAGCAATGACAAACCGTACATCAAATGTTATATAGCCTAGATGGATATTTCAAATTTCATCTCTAGTGGTCCTGATGATAATAGAATATTGGCATTAGCATTCAATATATTAAATAATTTTTTTATAGTTTATTTACTTTCACAAAATAATATTTTCTTAACAACGAATTAGATATATATTGCAGCAAAGATTAAACTATTTCAAGATTTCAAGAACTATGCATTTAAAATATAAGTTATGCAATCAATTTTAAGTTACATTAAACTAATCTGCAATTCAAATGTCTATATTTGATTCCTCTTTCAACTACACATTACTTTATTACATTGAGAACTTTTCAAATTTATCATTTTATTATTTCTCTTAATTACAGTAAAGTTGCTTATTTCAAAATTACTATTTTAAATCTATTGTTTCCATAAAACCGCATTGTGGTTCGTACAGTTTACGTCCAATTCATAAAAATCAGTATCACTTCACTTACATTAATTAAATCAAATCATAATATTTTTGATGTGTTGCTATATTATCTTTTTCCAAATAAAACAAAATAAAAAAAGTTTATCACTTACCACACGACATAATTCCTGTACATCATGCTGCATAAATGAATCTAATGTCTCCCAACTGTAAAATAAAAATCATTAACAGTCAGAAGTTGGAACAATGACAACTGCTTGTGTAGAAGTAAAGTCATTACATTTGCAAAACAACAGTATTGTTTGTACTGTACATAGGAATATTCAAATTAGTGGCAATTCAACACAGCCATTTTAAGGTAACTACATATTCTACTTACAACTTAAAGTCTGTTTCAAAATACTTTTGATTTTTTATCAAGTTTTGTGACCCATCTGACTTATTTTGAAAATAAAATAAATCTCTTATCTATTCAGATCAAAGTAGAAATGAGAAAACAGTTCCAACAACAACCTGAAGATTTTTATTGCAATAATTTTGAATAACTTATAACACTATAATAAAAATGTATCCAAATGAAGGAAACTTTAATAGTGGGGATATTACATCAGGTATGAAAAATATTCAGAAAATAATATCTTTAATAAATTAACTGTACAGGTAGCCCACGGTTTACACCGCAATTCCGTTCCTATAAAAGCTGGTGCAAATTGAATCAGCGTAAAATGAACCCATATTTACAGTGAAGTATAGGGTTAGGTTCTACATAAGAAAAAAATAATTTTGTTTATTAATACAATATAATACAAAATACATATAAATTTAATTTTTAAAATGTATTTTATCATAAAATAAAGCGAAATGTTTTTATTAAAAAATTTTAGTTTTGGATTGCTTAATTTTTCATAAAAAAAAGTATCTATTTTTAATTGTTTACATTTCTATTTTCTTTCATTAAGAATTTTGGAATATGGTCAAATGGATGTGATGATGCTCCTTTTTACATTTGCACTTCACTCCCAATCATTGTTTAACTCACAAAGTTCACCCGCCAAGCTTTCCATAATTAAAAGGATACGCTTTAGATCAGCCATTTTCATAACTCTTGGAATTTCTTCATCGTTCTTCTGTAGCTCTATGTTGGGTCCACAGCTCATTCAAATCTAACGGTTCGTAGAACATTCTCTATTGGTCTAGATCTGACCAATCCCAACGAACCACGATGCTGCCATGACACATGGTGTCGTAGTGGACTCATGTCTTGCTAGGATTCGTCATATCTGGACAAAATCTAGTCAAATCTAGCATAGAGAAAATTGGGGAATTACACAACAAATTGCACAGTGGTGTTATTGTGAATCGGCATAAATTGAACTGGCGTAAACTGAGGGCTACTTGTATACGAGAAACTTAACATCTACTTCTAGTACCAAATTACTTAGTTTCTAATTATGAATTATAGCATAATAATAGCCCGATTAATTATGGTGTGTGTTTGGATTAGTATCAATACATTGAGTCTCAAGATGTTGATACTTAATCTAAGCATTTTAATTTCTCTCTTCAAAAACACAGAAAATGAATGATATATATCAAGTTTATCACTAGAATAATAAAATAGCCAGAAATTTCAATCTAATTTTAATTCTAAAAAATGACATATGTAAACATTAAAGAAAATAATAATAATTGTTTACTAAACTTTAATCATTCACACAATTATTAATTTACTAGAATTCAACTAATTTTAATGAATTAGTTTTATTTAATATTGTAAACTACAGAATCATAGAGTAAATAATTTATTGTCAATGGTGTCTGATAAATTATCCAGATATTGGAAAATACATTAGAATTCATGGAGTGGCTGGTAAAAAGTTCCAGACTTGCCTATCTGAAATTTTATTTCTGAACTTACTTAAAATCATGAATCCTGAAACATATCTATTGTACTTGGAGAAATGCATCATTAAAACTAATAAATGCATTACTGAATTCCAATTATTAGGAAAATGAGTGGAAACTCATACATTGGGTATATCAAACAAACATATTCTTCAAAATAATTATTATTTATATATAAATAGTTTACAATATACACAAAAATATAAATATTTAAATTCTTAGAATATTCACAATCCAATTGCCCAAGAAGTAATAAAATATTATCTAAGTTTCACATTTTTTTGTGAATGTAGTGAAGCAAAAAGAGATTATTCAAAAGACTGACATGTATATATTATCAAATTGCTCCAATGAAAGTACTATGTATGAGATCTTCGATAGAGCAAAAATAAATACTATTTTTAAGCTATATAATTATGCGAAGCAATTTTTAAAAAATGGAAAAAATTCTTAAAGGTAGAGATATTTATAATTTGTATAATGTGTGAGATTTTTATGTTTATATTTAAAAGTATAAATTATTAGAGTTAAAATAGAAATAGAAAAGTTATTCTTAAATGAAGGAAAAGTAAATTGTTCAATTGTAAGATTAATGTGTAACATATAATGATTTGTAATACATGGTAAATAACTATGTATAAAGTCAGTTTGTAATGATGATTTATAAACCTAATACTGTGTTAATTAACAATTAGTGATAACAAATTATGCCCTATGTAACAGACAGAAGCCTTTTACAACTAATAAAGTTTGAAAAAAAATTTTAATGTTTTGGGTGCTGTAATAATTCTAAAATATTAAATATAAAAATTTGTTTAATGTTAAGGATTCCTACTCAAATTTTTGTTTAAATTCCATCATAACTTTCCCTAACCAACTTTGTACAAATTCCCTGATCTTCATGTCCCTTACAGTATGACACATTGACAAAATAAAACATTTGACTTATCATGCACATGAGCTATTGCTTCTCTAATTTTTTAGTTAGTTATTTTTTCTAATTAACAGTCATATATTTTTTATAATTGCTGAATTATTAAAATAAAAATAAAATGCTTTATTAAATTAAATTGCTTTATAATTATATTTTCAAATGGCTTTGAAAAAAAAGAAGCTATTATTTATTTATTATTCATTAACAAATCCTATATAATCCATGTCCAAATATATATATTTGTTAGATTTATCTCATAACAAATCTTCTGAAATTTATATTATTAATAAACTGAAATAAAAAAAATCAAAAATTGCTTTGTTATGCAATCAAAAATTATTAAAATGAAAAATGATAAATAATTTTAATTTATATGGTATTATCATTTTTTTTATTTTTAAATTTTTGGATCCTGAAAATATTCTGCACCCCTTTTTGTAAGTTGTATTGCACCACATTACTTCTTGCTGCCTGTAGAGAGCTATAGTTGGTCAAGCATACTGTCAGAAAAAAAAAAAACTAAGCAACAAGACATCCAAGGAGGCAAATTTTCTAACTTTCCATGACTCTTTCTGAACACTAATGAAAATCCCTGATTTTTCCACACTTTCCAGCTGCATAAGAACCCTGTATATTATTGTGAAGGACGGCAAATAAAGTTAAAAATAAAGTTGAATGATTTTAAACAGCAGAATACGTTAGGTCAAAAATTTATAATTATATTTGAGCAATTTTTACAAGGAAACATTTAAAGAGATTTTTCTGTTGTATTATTCCATTCATTTGTTCTTTTGAAAGTTCATAACGTTTATTTATTTACAGTTCACATCAACAAACTGCCTAAGTATCAGATACTATTTTAAGTATATAATATATTACACTGAAAAACTAAATATCAAATTTTCCAATCAGTTCATTAAGAATTCATATAATATATCTAAACTGGTTACCTACCCAAAAGATTTTGTGAGTTTCTTTGTACCAACTGGCTTATCAGAAAACTGTAATTCATAAAATACTCTTTGTAAAGCCAACGCTACACTCCTTGAAGAGTCATCACTCTCTGTAGGCATTTGATAGACAGCCTATGAGTAATTGGTTATTATTAAAATATTGTTGTTATATTGTAATTTTATAAGATTAGAAAACAAACCTGATCTCATAAAGTAAAACATTTTTAATTTAATAAAAATACAGAATAAACTTGTTATAATAATAAATTGTTTTACTAAATAATAATAATAATAATCAGTTATAATTAAGAATGTAAAGAAGATAAATTTTATTAAAATTTAATAAATATTTTATATTGATGAAGATGTAATTACAAAATGATAAAAATGTGCTAACTCACATCACAGATTGTTTTTATAATTTTGTAATTTTGAATGTTTTTTTGTCAATACATAAATATTTAGAAAAACATTAATCTAAATTCTTACAATAGTTACAATGGTAACACAATTTTTTTTAATAATATGCAAGCTGCAATTTGATAATTACATAATAAAATTACACCACTATTTTATAAAATCCATTTCAAAAAGATCACTAATATTATGCTAATTTTATTTGAGAAATGTTCTTATTTAATTCTTACTTTTGTTCTTTTAATAAACTTTAACATTATTTTTCATATAAAGTTATCAGAAAAATAAATTTACTACTTCACTAAAATATTAGTAAATATACATTATAATTGTGGACTCAATGAAAAATTATCATTTTTTAACGTATATATATACTATAAATTTTAAAACAATTTTTTTTAAAGTGGGTGAATTTATTTAAAATTATAAATAATAAAGTATTTAATTTATTTAGAATAATTATTGCAATTAAATTTTTATCAGTCATTCCTCCTTTGCTTCAAGATTTGTAACAGTGGTGTATAATTCTTTCCAGTTTCCATTAATGACGCAGTCTATTCAATTAAAAATTTTAATGTCATCTAATAAAGTTAAAATCAAGTTTATGAAAAAGCTTTGCATGCAAAACATTTCATAAAACAATGATTTTTCTATATTTAAGTGTTTTGTTATTTAAATCAATTTCATTTTATTCTGTACTCATTTTTGTTGTACTCATGTACTCATTTATTTTGTATTCATCAATATACAATATTACTGCAATCAAACTGTTATTGAAAGTAATATAAATATAAAGCATATCATAACTGAAACAAAAATAGAAAGAGTTCAAAGGAAAAAATTTAAAAATTCAAAACCACTATGCAAAATAAATAAATACACACACATGCATACAGTAATCCCCCGATTTAGGTGAATTCACTTTGACATAGTCGAAAAATTTTAAATAATCGACTAGATATTTTTACACTATGCATAAATTTGAAATTTTTCGAGGTTAAATGCATTAAATAAATTAACCATACATACATTGTATTTATACTAACATACACAGTAGAAATTATACAAATTTGGGAGTTTCCTATATTATTACTTACAATTGTGTAGCAGAGCTGCCAGACTGAGCAAAAAATTCATTGATTGGACTACTTTTGATGGTGTTTTTGGCAACATGCACGAAAGAAATCGACCGTACACGAGGTGTTTAGCCAGCAGAAAAAAGGGTAAGGAAAAGAGAAGGGGAAGAAGGAGGGAGAGGAGATAGACAGTAGAGAAAGGTAATATCCCCCTGAACAGCATATATATGGCTACAGTACCCTTTATGTTTGATGTTGGCATGCAGTTTTTAGGCTACAAGACCAAAGTCCCCTGAAGGGTCTAAAAGAAAACCTGAATGTAGTGAACACCAATAATTGAGTGCAGCCACGAATAACTAAGTGTAGAAGTTAGTGCCAAGTGGCTGTTAGTAGGAAGACTTATATCTACTTAATACTAATAAAACTGAATGCTATTGCAAATCTTAATACTACTTAACAGCTAGACAGACAGCACAAAAAGCAAATACAATGACAAACTAGACGAGACAAACGAGCAAGACCCAAAAATTTTATTTATTTTTAATATTAACCTACTCACTAACTAAACTAACCTACCATAATCTAGGACGAACCTAACCAGATAACTAAAGCTAACAAACACTAATCTAATTTAATTTAACCTAACCTGAAACCAAGCTAAGAGTCCCTAATCTAGATTACAACTAGGACTAACCAAATTTAGACTGAAAAAGAAGACAGAAAATAAGAATTAAAATACAAAGTTGAAAAGCAGCTATATACTGACAGTTGAAACAAAGCAAGAGAAAGCTAATTGCCATCCATGCCTCCTGGAATGAATGCTCTGGGACATGGATGTTTTGGCAACAGTCACCAATTAGATGATTTCAGTTTTTAACAGTCTCTACATACAGTCTTGCCATTTCACATATCAAGTATTTTTAATCATTATTGACACAAGAGTGGTTTCAAATAGGTAACAGTAAAGTTGTGAGTTTTAGTACAATTTATAAAAATAAATGATAAAAAAAATATATAAAAAAAAAACACTGATTTAACCCTTTACACAGATGTATATTTTAAAAACACTTTAGTTAAAACTGTTCTACCAAGTGAAAGTGAAATATTTGAGAACATGGAACAGATCCTGATTTTTAATTAATTAAGTAGCTTTCTGTGGCTCCATTTTCCAACTCTCTCTTTTATGCTGTTTTTGCAGAACCAATTACTCACATAAATGAAGAGATTACCATATGTATATGTGCAATGATCCAATAAAAATATTTAAAATCAGATTGTTTAAAATTATATTTGATTGCATAACTAATACAAATATTTTCATATTTCCATACCTTTCTTAACTGATTAGTGAAAAAGAGTGTTTGTAGTAGAGAATTCATATAACAAGTAGCACCTTGGTTTTTTAATCCTACATAACCTGTATGCTTCTTTGAATCCCAACTAAACAAAAAAAATTAAATTAATATTTTNCTACATTCAGAATTTTATATCTATCAAAAATAAAAATTCATAAAACCCAGTTAATTTAATACAGAAAAACACATGTAATTATTTTCTTGATTATAAAATCTTTAGTAATTTTGCTTCACAAGCCTGAAGCATTTCACTGTAATGAATAAAATATAAATGCTTTAAAGAATTTCAGGTGTCAGTAATTTATTCAGATACAACGTTCTGCAATATCTTTATCATCTCGACTTCAGATCCCAAAGCCAAGATATGGTCTTTCCAAGGCAGAGAAAGAACTAGAAACATATCACACAGTAGTAACATGCAAGTTATGGATGTATGAAATGTATTTTCTCAGTCAAGCATGAAGAAATATTGCAGATTCACAGTTGCAAAAGTGTCCAGTTGGAGCACAATGCCGAGACAGCAAAGATCTCAAAAATAAAGGTAATAAAAACTGATCACAATATTTCATCTGAATAAATTACCAAACCCTTAAAATTTCTTCCAGCTTTTTTTTTTTTAATTTTTGGAGATGATGAATCAACAGTACTTAGTTATAAAATTATTTGAATATTATTATTCATAAAATAATGATTAAGAAATGTATTTAATTCTTGAAAAAATTGGATTCAAATTATAAATAAAAATAAAAAAACTTTCAAAAAAATAATACATTATCATTTATATTCACTTACAGTCATTTTTCCTTCAAATAGTCTTGGAATTGTACCTTCAACACAAGTTCCTTTCATTTTACTTTCCATATTATCTAACAACTAAAATTACAAAAATAAAGTTACATGAAAAAAAATAGTAAATATTTTAATATAGTTATATAAATATGTATGAACTTTTCATAATTTATAATAACTAAAAAGTAGCCACTTGTACAGTACTTTAAAAAAATCAAAGTACAATGAAATGTCAAAAATTCAGACTAACTGGGGCCAGACACTGAACTAGATTTTCAAATATACATGTAAATTAAATTTTGTATTAAGTTTTGAATCATTTTAATATGAAAATTAACAATTACTTCTATCCCAAAATTAGATTACAAATATCTATTTGCTTCTTGATTATTTCCTACAAATATATTATTAAACACATATAACAACAAGTATGAATATACAAATAGTATTGTTTGAATTTTTAAAACACACACAATCAAGTTAATATCCAAAATCAATGATAACTTTCTAGCAAAACAATAAATAAACCCAACAATATTTTAGAAATCCCACAAGTTAACAATAACCTCTGACACTATACAATTTAAAAAGACCAAAAAATTTTCTAATTTAATACATCAAATGATCCAAATCTAAGTAAATGAGAGCATTCAAATTATTATTCTATAAATTTTCACCGGAGATTCATAAAAATATTTTATTGTAGACAATAAAATATTTTTATGTTTGTATTAGTATTGGTATATATTTTTCATCATCAATATGATTTATTTCCCTCAAATGCTATATAAAATGGTAACAGGATTCAAATATAAAACAAATCCATAAATTATTTATTAATTTATAGTTTATAATTTGGTAAACTGGAAATATCAGATAATTAGATTATATATACAAATGTCAAACTTTATTTTTATGCCAAGAGATCTTAAAATCCATACTAAATTTTTCTATATTAAAAATGCCTTGAGGAAAAAAAAAGAAAGAAGGATTCAACATTAAATGAAACAACTGAAAATTACATAGATCCACTAAAATACCTAAAGCCAAATCAAATAATATACATCAAGCAGTCAAAATTAAAAATGTTAACAATATTTTTAATATATTTAATTTATTAATTTCAGCCACAACTAATTATCCTGAAAAATGTAAACTTTCAATTTTGGTTTCAATAAAAGCTAATAATAATAAACCTCTAAAAGTCACTCTGAATTTGACACTTTGAATACTTTTTAAAATACAGTTAAATGACAACCATTCAACATCCTTTATTCAATTCTTTACTCTGGTAAACACATCAGTCAAACTGCATTTTGGACTTGAAAGCCCCCTCTTCAGTTGACTCTAATACTAAAACAATACTAAAACTTTAAAAATAAAAGAATAGTATCCAAATTTAGTACTAGAGTCAACTGAAGAGGGGCTTTCAAGCTAAACATGCATTTTGTATGATATATTGACAAGAGTAAAGAACTGAATAAAGGATGTTGAATAGTCCAGTATCTTCAACCAACACTTTATTGCATTTTAAATAGTGTATAAAGAATATAGGCACTGTTCCAAATAAGGAGAAATCAGTGATATACCTTCAGGAAGGCTTTGAGAAACAAAACTGTTGAATTTAAAAGTGCTCAAAAAAACTTTCTGATTGTACTTTTTATTATTTTTTTAGTAAGTTTAAAATTCAATTATTTTATCAGACAATTAATATATTTTTATTTTTTACTTAACAAATAACAGACTTCAAAGTATGTGCAATTTCTTGTTGTAAATTGCACATTATATACAATTTACTGTAATTAAAAAACAAAAATAAAGAACATTCTTTACGCTTTACATGGTATTCCTGTATTAATATCCATAAGAAAAGTATGAAAATAAAAATACATGTGAAGCAATAATTCAATAAACATCAATAAATTTGTAGAAATAAAAATAATAGCAATGACAAACCGTACATCAAATGTTATATAGCCTAGATGGATATTTCAAATTTCATCTCTAGTGGTCCTGATGATAATAGAATATTGGCATTAGCATTCAATATATTAAATAATTTTTTTATAGTTTATTTACTTTCACAAAATAATATTTTCTTAACAACGAATTAGATATATATTGCAGCAAAGATTAAACTATTTCAAGATTTCAAGAACTATGCATTTAAAATATAAGTTATGCAATCAATTTTAAGTTACATTAAACTAATCTGCAATTCAAATGTCTATATTTGATTCCTCTTTCAACTACACATTACTTTATTACATTGAGAACTTTTCAAATTTATCATTTTATTATTTCTCTTAATTACAGTAAAGTTGCTTATTTCAAAATTACTATTTTAAATCTATTGTTTCCATAAAACCGCATTGTGGTTCGTACAGTTTACGTCCAATTCATAAAAATCAGTATCACTTCACTTACATTAATTAAATCAAATCATAATATTTTTGATGTGTTGCTATATTATCTTTTTCCAAATAAAACAAAATAAAAAAAGTTTATCACTTACCACACGACATAATTCCTGTACATCATGCTGCATAAATGAATCTAATGTCTCCCAACTGTAAAATAAAAATCATTAACAGTCAGAAGTTGGAACAATGACAACTGCTTGTGTAGAAGTAAAGTCATTACATTTGCAAAACAACAGTATTGTTTGTACTGTACATAGGAATATTCAAATTAGTGGCAATTCAACACAGCCATTTTAAGGTAACTACATATTCTACTTACAACTTAAAGTCTGTTTCAAAATACTTTTGATTTTTTATCAAGTTTTGTGACCCATCTGACTTATTTTGAAAATAAAATAAATCTCTTATCTATTCAGATCAAAGTAGAAATGAGAAAACAGTTCCAACAACAACCTGAAGATTTTTATTGCAATAATTTTGAATAACTTATAACACTATAATAAAAATGTATCCAAATGAAGGAAACTTTAATAGTGGGGATATTACATCAGGTATGAAAAATATTCAGAAAATAATATCTTTAATAAATTAACTGTACAGGTAGCCCACGGTTTACACCGCAATTCNACTAAAATTACAAAAATAAAGTTACATGAAAAAAAATAGTAAATATTTTAATATAGTTATATAAATATGTATGAACTTTTCATAATTTATAATAACTAAAAAGTAGCCACTTGTACAGTACTTTAAAAAAATCAAAGTACAATGAAATGTCAAAAATTCAGACTAACTGGGGCCAGACACTGAACTAGATTTTCAAATATACATGTAAATTAAATTTTGTATTAAGTTTTGAATCATTTTAATATGAAAATTAACAATTACTTCTATCCCAAAATTAGATTACAAATATCTATTTGCTTCTTGATTATTTCCTACAAATATATTATTAAACACATATAACAACAAGTATGAATATACAAATAGTATTGTTTGAATTTTTAAAACACACACAATCAAGTTAATATCCAAAATCAATGATAACTTTCTAGCAAAACAATAAATAAACCCAACAATATTTTAGAAATCCCACAAGTTAACAATAACCTCTGACACTATACAATTTAAAAAGACCAAAAAATTTTCTAATTTAATACATCAAATGATCCAAATCTAAGTAAATGAGAGCATTCAAATTATTATTCTATAAATTTTCACCGGAGATTCATAAAAATATTTTATTGTAGACAATAAANTCCCCAATCATTCTCTTTACTGTAGAATAGATGTTGAATTTCTGAAAAGAAAATAGGTTAAGGAATTAAATCTCTTAAATAATAAACTTTATAATAATGAAAATATAAAATATTGAAAAAATTTTTCTTACTTCTTACAAAATTTTCTTCTGTTCCCTCTTTCTGACCAATAAGTCTTAATTCTGCTGCTGCATTACAGGACCAAGTTCTAAATAAATAAAGATATGTATTATACAGTAGGTTTTCGACTAGAGACTTGCATTAAATAGAATATTAAGACTTACGACGACTCTGATTCTCCGTTACATTGTAAAAAGAATCCTAATCCTTTCGTTAATTCTCGACTCTGACTTTGGTTTGTTCGTGGCATTACCATTATTTTCCTATTAGATATAAAATATATATAGATGATCTCTGCTATTATTTGTGTACATTTATTTAGTTTAAAAATACATTTGAAATTTTTTAAGTTAAAAACATCGTGGATAGCATAGGATGGATAACTTGCCTAATAAAAATTTAAAAAAATAAGAAAATATGTTATATTTTGAACTTTGTATTCAAAGATCTCCAGAAATTTATCATTCTCTTCATGAAAAGTATCAAAATTTAAACACTCAGTGACTTATAAAGATTATTTAGTAGTGAATCACATGAAAACAAGTTAACTCATTATGAATTATCAATGAGTTAAATAAAATTGTTTTTAATGATTTGTTGAAAAAAAATCTACGCAAATTAGTAAATTATACATTAAAACTAAAAATGAATATATTATATATTATTACCATGGAAGGTTTCTCACAAATGTAGGTGGACTGAGCAAAGTATCTTTGAGTTTGCTGAAATTGGGAACTGTAAATCTGAAAGTTGCTTCTGATCTTGCTTCATCTGAAATTGTTAATATAAAAATATTATAAATTAGATAAGAAAATTTAACAGAAAATATTAAATGTATTTAAAAGCTAACTTAATGTCTAATATTTAAAACATGTCTGAAAGGAATGCAATGAGACAGATAAGAATTTTCTATTTTGGTAGATATTCATTTTATAAGGAGTTACTTTTATTAATGCAGAAAGAGTTAAAAATTTTTTTTAAAATAAATATACTTACTAATTACATTATTTTATATTTTAATTCTGTTATTTTTTTTATTAAAACAAAAATAAGAACTATTTTGTAATACCAAAACTTTTTTGTCAAAAATCTCCCAATCCTATTAACCAGTTTTTCCAGTTTCCAGTGTTTGGATAAACTGTTTTAATCATTCGGCATTGTCACAGCATACAAAGTGTGACTATAAGACAGAATAATATTTCGAGTTGGAGTGGACATCATTTGTGTGGCATATATCTGCACTGCCAACTACAATGATAACATCAATATCATAAGTACTGTGACCAACATTAAAGTTGAAAAGTGTGCTCCTGGCGTGATATGACTTGTGCATATGTTTTGGAGTTGACTTGTACAGCAGGTATAGGGTCTAAACCAGAATGCCATGCTGAACCTTGAGATTGGCTTACATGCTGGTGTATACAGTATACAAAGGCATAATAAAGAATATTCTCATCTGTTTTTTGAAAAACTTGAAAACAGAATTAATCTATCATAGTATTTTTAATTCAATTTTAACCTTATAAGNTTTTCATAAAAAAAAGTATCTATTTTTAATTGTTTACATTTCTATTTTCTTTCATTAAGAATTTTGGAATATGGTCAAATGGATGTGATGATGCTCCTTTTTACATTTGCACTTCACTCCCAATCATTGTTTAACTCACAAAGTTCACCCGCCAAGCTTTCCATAATTAAAAGGATACGCTTTAGATCAGCCATTTTCATAACTCTTGGAATTTCTTCATCGTTCTTCTGTAGCTCTATGTTGGGTCCACAGCTCATTCAAATCTAACGGTTCGTAGAACATTCTCTATTGGTCTAGATCTGACCAATCCCAACGAACCACGATGCTGCCATGACACATGGTGTCGTAGTGGACTCATGTCTTGCTAGGATTCGTCATATCTGGACAAAATCTAGTCAAATCTAGCATAGAGAAAATTGGGGAATTACACAACAAATTGCACAGTGGTGTTATTGTGAATCGGCATAAATTGAACTGGCGTAAACTGAGGGCTACTTGTATACGAGAAACTTAACATCTACTTCTAGTACCAAATTACTTAGTTTCTAATTATGAATTATAGCATAATAATAGCCCGATTAATTATGGTGTGTGTTTGGATTAGTATCAATACATTGAGTCTCAGGATGTTGATACTTAATCTAAGCATTTTAATTTCTCTCTTCAAAAACACAGAAAATGAATGATATATATCAAGTTTATCACTAGAATAATAAAATAGCCAGAAATTTCAATCTAATTTTAATTCTAAAAAATGACATATGTAAACATTAAAGAAAATAATAATAATTGTTTACTAAACTTTAATCATTCACACAATTATTAATTTACTAGAATTCAACTAATTTTAATGAATTAGTTTTATTTAATATTGTAAACTACAGAATCATAGAGTAAATAATTTATTGTCAATGGTGTCTGATAAATTATCCAGATATTGGAAAATACATTAGAATTCATGGAGTGGCTGGTAAAAAGTTCCAGACTTGCCTATCTGAAATTTTATTTCTGAACTTACTTAAAATCATGAATCCTGAAACATATCTATTGTACTTGGAGAAATGCATCATTAAAACTAATAAATGCATTACTGAATTCCAATTATTAGGAAAATGAGTGGAAACTCATACATTGGGTATATCAAACAAACATATTCTTCAAAATAATTATTATTTATATATAAATAGTTTACAATATACACAAAAATATAAATATTTAAATTCTTAGAATATTCACAATCCAATTGCCCAAGAAGTAATAAAATATTATCTAAGTTTCACATTTTTTTGTGAATGTAGTGAAGCAAAAAGAGATTATTCAAAAGACTGACATGTATATATTATCAAATTGCTCCAATGAAAGTACTATGTATGAGATCTTCGATAGAGCAAAAATAAATACTATTTTTAAGCTATATAATTATGCGAAGCAATTTTTAAAAAATGGAAAAAATTCTTAAAGGTAGAGATATTTATAATTTGTATAATGTGTGAGATTTTTATGTTTATATTTAAAAGTATAAATTATTAGAGTTAAAATAGAAATAGAAAAGTTATTCTTAAATGAAGGAAAAGTAAATTGTTCAATTGTAAGATTAATGTGTAACATATAATGATTTGTAATACATGGTAAATAACTATGTATAAAGTCAGTTTGTAATGATGATTTATAAACCTAATACTGTGTTAATTAACAATTAGTGATAACAAATTATGCCCTATGTAACAGACAGAAGCCTTTTACAACTAATAAAGTTTGAAAAAAAATTTTAATGTTTTGGGTGCTGTAATAATTCTAAAATATTAAATATAAAAATTTGTTTAATGTTAAGGATTCCTACTCAAATTTTTGTTTAAATTCCATCATAACTTTCCCTAACCAACTTTGTACAAATTCCCTGATCTTCATGTCCCTTACAGTATGACACATTGACAAAATAAAACATTTGACTTATCATGCACATGAGCTATTGCTTCTCTAATTTTTTAGTTAGTTATTTTTTCTAATTAACAGTCATATATTTTTTATAATTGCTGAATTATTAAAATAAAAATAAAATGCTTTATTAAATTAAATTGCTTTATAATTATATTTTCAAATGGCTTTGAAAAAAAAGAAGCTATTATTTATTTATTATTCATTAACAAATCCTATATAATCCATGTCCAAATATATATATTTGTTAGATTTATCTCATAACAAATCTTCTGAAATTTATATTATTAATAAACTGAAATAAAAAAAATCAAAAATTGCTTTGTTATGCAATCAAAAATTATTAAAATGAAAAATGATAAATAATTTTAATTTATATGGTATTATCATTTTTTTTATTTTTAAATTTTTGGATCCTGAAAATATTCTGCACCCCTTTTTGTAAGTTGTATTGCACCACATTACTTCTTGCTGCCTGTAGAGAGCTATAGTTGGTCAAGCATACTGTCAGAAAAAAAAAAAACTAAGCAACAAGACATCCAAGGAGGCAAATTTTCTAACTTTCCATGACTCTTTCTGAACACTAATGAAAATCCCTGATTTTTCCACACTTTCCAGCTGCATAAGAACCCTGTATATTATTGTGAAGGACGGCAAATAAAGTTAAAAATAAAGTTGAATGATTTTAAACAGCAGAATACGTTAGGTCAAAAATTTATAATTATATTTGAGCAATTTTTACAAGGAAACATTTAAAGAGATTTTTCTGTTGTATTATTCCATTCATTTGTTCTTTTGAAAGTTCATAACGTTTATTTATTTACAGTTCACATCAACAAACTGCCTAAGTATCAGATACTATTTTAAGTATATAATATATTACACTGAAAAACTAAATATCAAATTTTCCAATCAGTTCATTAAGAATTCATATAATATATCTAAACTGGTTACCTACCCAAAAGATTTTGTGAGTTTCTTTGTACCAACTGGCTTATCAGAAAACTGTAATTCATAAAATACTCTTTGTAAAGCCAACGCTACACTCCTTGAAGAGTCATCACTCTCTGTAGGCATTTGATAGACAGCCTATGAGTAATTGGTTATTATTAAAATATTGTTGTTATATTGTAATTTTATAAGATTAGAAAACAAACCTGATCTCATAAAGTAAAACATTTTTAATTTAATAAAAATACAGAATAAACTTGTTATAATAATAAATTGTTTTACTAAATAATAATAATAATAATCAGTTATAATTAAGAATGTAAAGAAGATAAATTTTATTAAAATTTAATAAATATTTTATATTGATGAAGATGTAATTACAAAATGATAAAAATGTGCTAACTCACATCACAGATTGTTTTTATAATTTTGTAATTTTGAATGTTTTTTTGTCAATACATAAATATTTAGAAAAACATTAATCTAAATTCTTACAATAGTTACAATGGTAACACAATTTTTTTTAATAATATGCAAGCTGCAATTTGATAATTACATAATAAAATTACACCACTATTTTATAAAATCCATTTCAAAAAGATCACTAATATTATGCTAATTTTATTTGAGAAATGTTCTTATTTAATTCTTACTTTTGTTCTTTTAATAAACTTTAACATTATTTTTCATATAAAGTTATCAGAAAAATAAATTTACTACTTCACTAAAATATTAGTAAATATACATTATAATTGTGGACTCAATGAAAAATTATCATTTTTTAACGTATATATATACTATAAATTTTAAAACAATTTTTTTTAAAGTGGGTGAATTTATTTAAAATTATAAATAATAAAGTATTTAATTTATTTAGAATAATTATTGCAATTAAATTTTTATCAGTCATTCCTCCTTTGCTTCAAGATTTGTAACAGTGGTGTATAATTCTTTCCAGTTTCCATTAATGACGCAGTCTATTCAATTAAAAATTTTAATGTCATCTAATAAAGTTAAAATCAAGTTTATGAAAAAGCTTTGCATGCAAAACATTTCATAAAACAATGATTTTTCTATATTTAAGTGTTTTGTTATTTAAATCAATTTCATTTTATTCTGTACTCATTTTTGTTGTACTCATGTACTCATTTATTTTGTATTCATCAATATACAATATTACTGCAATCAAACTGTTATTGAAAGTAATATAAATATAAAGCATATCATAACTGAAACAAAAATAGAAAGAGTTCAAAGGAAAAAATTTAAAAATTCAAAACCACTATGCAAAATAAATAAATACACACACATGCATACAGTAATCCCCCGATTTAGGTGAATTCACTTTGACATAGTCGAAAAATTTTAAATAATCAACTAGATATTTTTACACTATGCATAAATTTGAAATTTTTCGAGGTTAAATGCATTAAATAAATTAACCATACATACATTGTATTTATACTAACATACACAGTAGAAATTATACAAATTTGGGAGTTTCCTATATTATTACTTACAATTGTGTAGCAGAGCTGCCAGACTGAGCAAAAAATTCATTGATTGGACTACTTTTGATGGTGTTTTTGGCAACATGCACGAAAGAAATCGACCGTACACGAGGTGTTTAGCCAGCAGAAAAAAGGGTAAGGAAAAGAGAAGGGGAAGAAGGAGGGAGAGGAGATAGACAGTAGAGAAAGGTAATATCCCCCTGAACAGCATATATATGGCTACAGTACCCTTTATGTTTGATGTTGGCATGCAGTTTTTAGGCTACAAGACCAAAGTCCCCTGAAGGGTCTAAAAGAAAACCTGAATGTAGTGAACACCAATAATTGAGTGCAGCCACGAATAACTAAGTGTAGAAGTTAGTGCCAAGTGGCTGTTAGTAGGAAGACTTATATCTACTTAATACTAATAAAACTGAATGCTATTGCAAATCTTAATACTACTTAACAGCTAGACAGACAGCACAAAAAGCAAATACAATGACAAACTAGACGAGACAAACGAGCAAGACCCAAAAATTTTATTTATTTTTAATATTAACCTACTCACTAACTAAACTAACCTACCATAATCTAGGACGAACCTAACCAGATAACTAAAGCTAACAAACACTAATCTAATTTAATTTAACCTAACCTGAAACCAAGCTAAGAGTCCCTAATCTAGATTACAACTAGGACTAACCAAATTTAGACTGAAAAAGAAGACAGAAAATAAGAATTAAAATACAAAGTTGAAAAGCAGCTATATACTGACAGTTGAAACAAAGCAAGAGAAAGCTAATTGCCATCCATGCCTCCTGGAATGAATGCTCTGGGACATGGATGTTTTGGCAACAGTCACCAATTAGATGATTTCAGTTTTTAACAGTCTCTACATACAGTCTTGCCATTTCACATATCAAGTATTTTTAATCATTATTGACACAAGAGTGGTTTCAAATAGGTAACAGTAAAGTTGTGAGTTTTAGTACAATTTATAAAAATAAATGATAAAAAAAATATATATAAAAAAAAACACTGATTTAACCCTTTACACAGATGTATATTTTAAAAACACTTTAGTTAAAACTGTTCTACCAAGTGAAAGTGAAATATTTGAGAACATGGAACAGATCCTGATTTTTAATTAATTAAGTAGCTTTCTGTGGCTCCATTTTCCAACTCTCTCTTTTATGCTGTTTTTGCAGAACCAATTACTCACATAAATGAAGAGATTACCATATGTATATGTGCAATGATCCAATAAAAATATTTAAAATCAGATTGTTTAAAATTATATTTGATTGCATAACTAATACAAATATTTTCATATTTCCATACCTTTCTTAACTGATTAGTGAAAAAGAGTGTTTGTAGTAGAGAATTCATATAACAAGTAGCACCTTGGTTTTTTAATCCTACATAACCTGTATGCTTCTTTGAATCCCAACTAAACAAAAAAAATTAAATTAATATTTTTAAATTAAATTTTGTTTTAAGTATTCTTATATAAATAAATATTTCCATTTAATTAATTAAAACACTAAAAATTATAGAAATTGGAAAATAAAACTTAAAAATTATTTAAAATCTTTAAAACATGTAAAAAATATATTAAATTTTCTGCTTACAGTCCTATTATAATGAAAATTTTACTACAATTATATATTTAATCAATTTATATATATATATATATATATAAAACATTCTAAAGATTGTTTATTTTCATGGAAAAATGTTTTTTTACTTAAAAGAATTTCTTACCTGACACCATGAGGAGCATCTGCACATACCCAAACTTCAAGTATTATAGTATCATCTTTAATAAAACCTTTTTCTGGATCCAAAATATCCTAGATTATAAAATAAAAAACTTTTCAATATTTTATGCTTTTTCACATTAATGTGTTTCTAATAATTGCAAGTTTAAAAATTGATTTACTAATTTCCAAATAAATCTTTAACTCAAAATTTCAATGGCTTAGCAATTTTTCATTACTTTAAAACAAACTCTTACAATAACAATACATTAATTTTAGTTGTTAGTGTATAAAAATATTACTTCCTATTTTGTATGCTGTGTGATCAAATCATATCTATGCAGAATATTTAATTTTTAGCTAAGAATAATTTCTGATGTTTCAATTTTATTTTAGCAGTAGTTAATTTGCAAAAAATTTTACATAAATGATGTAAACTATTACATGAAAGTAATATAATTATAAAAAAATATTAGAAATAAATAACTATTTTTTTAATATTTCAAAATGCTTACATTCCACGCCATAAAATGACTAAATCCCCAATCATTCTCTTTACTGTAGAATAGATGTTGAATTTCTGAAAAGAAAATAGGTTAAGGAATTAAATCTCTTAAATAATAAACTTTATAATAATGAAAATATAAAATATTGAAAAAATTTTTCTTACTTCTTACAAAATTTTCTTCTGTTCCCTCTTTCTGACCAATAAGTCTTAATTCTGCTGCTGCATTACAGGACCAAGTTCTAAATAAATAAAGATATGTATTATACAGTAGGTTTTCGACTAGAGACTTGCATTAAATAGAATATTAAGACTTACGACGACTCTGATTCTCCGTTACATTGTAAAAAGAATCCTAATCCTTTCGTTAATTCTCGACTCTGACTTTGGTTTGTTCGTGGCATTACCATTATTTTCCTATTAGATATAAAATATATATAGATGATCTCTGCTATTATTTGTGTACATTTATTTAGTTTAAAAATACATTTGAAATTTTTTAAGTTAAAAACATCGTGGATAGCATAGGATGGATAACTTGCCTAATAAAAATTTAAAAAAATAAGAAAATATGTTATATTTTGAACTTTGTATTCAAAGATCTCCAGAAATTTATCATTCTCTTCATGAAAAGTATCAAAATTTAAACACTCAGTGACTTATAAAGATTATTTAGTAGTGAATCACATGAAAACAAGTTAACTCATTATGAATTATCAATGAGTTAAATAAAATTGTTTTTAATGATTTGTTGAAAAAAAATCTACGCAAATTAGTAAATTATACATTAAAACTAAAAATGAATATATTATATATTATTACCATGGAAGGTTTCTCACAAATGTAGGTGGACTGAGCAAAGTATCTTTGAGTTTGCTGAAATTGGGAACTGTAAATCTGAAAGTTGCTTCTGATCTTGCTTCATCTGAAATTGTTAATATAAAAATATTATAAATTAGATAAGAAAATTTAACAGAAAATATTAAATGTATTTAAAAGCTAACTTAATGTCTAATATTTAAAACATGTCTGAAAGGAATGCAATGAGACAGATAAGAATTTTCTATTTTGGTAGATATTCATTTTATAAGGAGTTACTTTTATTAATGCAGAAAGAGTTAAAAATTTTTTTTAAAATAAATATACTTACTAATTACATTATTTTATATTTTAATTCTGTTATTTTTTTTATTAAAACAAAAATAAGAACTATTTTGTAATACCAAAACTTTTTTGTCAAAAATCTCCCAATCCTATTAACCAGTTTTTCCAGTTTCCAGTGTTTGGATAAACTGTTTTAATCATTCGGCATTGTCACAGCATACAAAGTGTGACTATAAGACAGAATAATATTTCGAGTTGGAGTGGACATCATTTGTGTGGCATATATCTGCACTGCCAACTACAATGATAACATCAATATCATAAGTACTGTGACCAACATTAAAGTTGAAAAGTGTGCTCCTGGCGTGATATGACTTGTGCATATGTTTTGGAGTTGACTTGTACAGCAGGTATAGGGTCTAAACCAGAATGCCATGCTGAACCTTGAGATTGGCTTACATGCTGGTGTATACAGTATACAAAGGCATAATAAAGAATATTCTCATCTGTTTTTTGAAAAACTTGAAAACAGAATTAATCTATCATAGTATTTTTAATTCAATTTTAACCTTATAAGGACAGGAATTTGAAAGGAATTTAAATCAAAGAGGGAGAAACTAAATCAGAAATGTAATATATTAAAATACTATTTTAGTAATTTCACATATCTTACAAAAAAAAATTTATCAATAAATTCAAAATCCATAGAGAATACTTCTAATTTTTATTTTTTTTGGTGACTACTTAATTATATGAATTATTTATTTCTGAAATGATTTTTCTGCACTTAAAAAACACACACACACACACGAGAGCTTCTGTTACTATTTCTGTGGGATACAATATGTAAAATTTTTGAATGCATAACCAAAACAAAAATATATATCATACTATATAAAGCTGAAAAACCGGATTCTTTTTTTATTTCTGTCACTGTATGCCAAAAACAGCCACTAGGGGACTCCTAGCTATTATTTAAATTAACAATAAATTCAGTATATTATTATTTGATGCAGTTTTTGCATTTTTGGCTGCATTTTAGTAGAGTACACATGAAAAATTCAGTATATTATTATTTTTATTTGTAATAAGAATTTATTATTTATACCACAGAATGACATTGCTGCTGCTAGAATGCCCACTAAAGGGCATCCTGTACTACTAGAATAGAAGGATTAAAGTACGAAATAATCTAATAATCTTAATCTTTGTTGTTGTTTTTTGCCTGGGCAATGCCGGGCTCATCTGCTGTTTACTTAAAAGAATTTCTTACCTGACACCATGAGGAGCATCTGCACATACCCAAACTTCAAGTATTATAGTATCATCTTTAATAAAACCTTTTTCTGGATCCAAAATATCCTAGATTATAAAATAAAAAACTTTTCAATATTTTATGCTTTTTCACATTAATGTGTTTCTAATAATTGCAAGTTTAAAAATTGATTTACTAATTTCCAAATAAATCTTTAACTCAAAATTTCAATGGCTTAGCAATTTTTCATTACTTTAAAACAAACTCTTACAATAACAATACATTAATTTTAGTTGTTAGTGTATAAAAATATTACTTCCTATTTTGTATGCTGTGTGATCAAATCATATCTATGCAGAATATTTAATTTTTAGCTAAGAATAATTTCTGATGTTTCAATTTTATTTTAGCAGTAGTTAATTTGCAAAAAATTTTACATAAATGATGTAAACTATTACATGAAAGTAATATAATTATAAAAAAATATTAGAAATAAATAACTATTTTTTTAATATTTCAAAATGCTTACATTCCACGCCATAAAATGACTAAATCCCCAATCATTCTCTTTACTGTAGAATAGATGTTGAATTTCTGAAAAGAAAATAGGTTAAGGAATTAAATCTCTTAAATAATAAACTTTATAATAATGAAAATATAAAATATTGAAAAAATTTTTCTTACTTCTTACAAAATTTTCTTCTGTTCCNTGATAAATAATTTTAATTTATATGGTATTATCATTTTTTTTATTTTTAAATTTTTGGATCCTGAAAATATTCTGCACCCCTTTTTGTAAGTTGTATTGCACCACATTACTTCTTGCTGCCTGTAGAGAGCTATAGTTGGTCAAGCATACTGTCAGAAAAAAAAAAAACTAAGCAACAAGACATCCAAGGAGGCAAATTTTCTAACTTTCCATGACTCTTTCTGAACACTAATGAAAATCCCTGATTTTTCCACACTTTCCAGCTGCATAAGAACCCTGTATATTATTGTGAAGGACGGCAAATAAAGTTAAAAATAAAGTTGAATGATTTTAAACAGCAGAATACGTTAGGTCAAAAATTTATAATTATATTTGAGCAATTTTTACAAGGAAACATTTAAAGAGATTTTTCTGTTGTATTATTCCATTCATTTGTTCTTTTGAAAGTTCATAACGTTTATTTATTTACAGTTCACATCAACAAACTGCCTAAGTATCAGATACTATTTTAAGTATATAATATATTACACTGAAAAACTAAATATCAAATTTTCCAATCAGTTCATTAAGAATTCATATAATATATCTAAACTGGTTACCTACCCAAAAGATTTTGTGAGTTTCTTTGTACCAACTGGCTTATCAGAAAACTGTAATTCATAAAATACTCTTTGTAAAGCCAACGCTACACTCCTTGAAGAGTCATCACTCTCTGTAGGCATTTGATAGACAGCCTATGAGTAATTGGTTATTATTAAAATATTGTTGTTATATTGTAATTTTATAAGATTAGAAAACAAACCTGATCTCATAAAGTAAAACATTTTTAATTTAATAAAAATACAGAATAAACTTGTTATAATAATAAATTGTTTTACTAAATAATAATAATAATAATCAGTTATAATTAAGAATGTAAAGAAGATAAATTTTATTAAAATTTAATAAATATTTTATATTGATGAAGATGTAATTACAAAATGATAAAAATGTGCTAACTCACATCACAGATTGTTTTTATAATTTTGTAATTTTGAATGTTTTTTTGTCAATACATAAATATTTAGAAAAACATTAATCTAAATTCTTACAATAGTTACAATGGTAACACAATTTTTTTTAATAATATGCAAGCTGCAATTTGATAATTACATAATAAAATTACACCACTATTTTATAAAATCCATTTCAAAAAGATCACTAATATTATGCTAATTTTATTTGAGAAATGTTCTTATTTAATTCTTACTTTTGTTCTTTTAATAAACTTTAACATTATTTTTCATATAAAGTTATCAGAAAAATAAATTTACTACTTCACTAAAATATTAGTAAATATACATTATAATTGTGGACTCAATGAAAAATTATCATTTTTTAACGTATATATATACTATAAATTTTAAAACAATTTTTTTTAAAGTGGGTGAATTTATTTAAAATTATAAATAATAAAGTATTTAATTTATTTAGAATAATTATTGCAATTAAATTTTTATCAGTCATTCCTCCTTTGCTTCAAGATTTGTAACAGTGGTGTATAATTCTTTCCAGTTTCCATTAATGACGCAGTCTATTCAATTAAAAATTTTAATGTCATCTAATAAAGTTAAAATCAAGTTTATGAAAAAGCTTTGCATGCAAAACATTTCATAAAACAATGATTTTTCTATATTTAAGTGTTTTGTTATTTAAATCAATTTCATTTTATTCTGTACTCATTTTTGTTGTACTCATGTACTCATTTATTTTGTATTCATCAATATACAATATTACTGCAATCAAACTGTTATTGAAAGTAATATAAATATAAAGCATATCATAACTGAAACAAAAATAGAAAGAGTTCAAAGGAAAAAATTTAAAAATTCAAAACCACTATGCAAAATAAATAAATACACACACATGCATACAGTAATCCCCCGATTTAGGTGAATTCACTTTGACATAGTCGAAAAATTTTAAATAATCGACTAGATATTTTTACACTATGCATAAATTTGAAATTTTTCGAGGTTAAATGCATTAAATAAATTAACCATACATACATTGTATTTATACTAACATACACAGTAGAAATTATACAAATTTGGGAGTTTCCTATATTATTACTTACAATTGTGTAGCAGAGCTGCCAGACTGAGCAAAAAATTCATTGATTGGACTACTTTTGATGGTGTTTTTGGCAACATGCACGAAAGAAATCGACCGTACACGAGGTGTTTAGCCAGCAGAAAAAAGGGTAAGGAAAAGAGAAGGGGAAGAAGGAGGGAGAGGAGATAGACAGTAGAGAAAGGTAATATCCCCCTGAACAGCATATATATGGCTACAGTACCCTTTATGTTTGATGTTGGCATGCAGTTTTTAGGCTACAAGACCAAAGTCCCCTGAAGGGTCTAAAAGAAAACCTGAATGTAGTGAACACCAATAATTGAGTGCAGCCACGAATAACTAAGTGTAGAAGTTAGTGCCAAGTGGCTGTTAGTAGGAAGACTTATATCTACTTAATACTAATAAAACTGAATGCTATTGCAAATCTTAATACTACTTAACAGCTAGACAGACAGCACAAAAAGCAAATACAATGACAAACTAGACGAGACAAACGAGCAAGACCCAAAAATTTTATTTATTTTTAATATTAACCTACTCACTAACTAAACTAACCTACCATAATCTAGGACGAACCTAACCAGATAACTAAAGCTAACAAACACTAATCTAATTTAATTTAACCTAACCTGAAACCAAGCTAAGAGTCCCTAATCTAGATTACAACTAGGACTAACCAAATTTAGACTGAAAAAGAAGACAGAAAATAAGAATTAAAATACAAAGTTGAAAAGCAGCTATATACTGACAGTTGAAACAAAGCAAGAGAAAGCTAATTGCCATCCATGCCTCCTGGAATGAATGCTCTGGGACATGGATGTTTTGGCAACAGTCACCAATTAGATGATTTCAGTTTTTAACAGTCTCTACATACAGTCTTGCCATTTCACATATCAAGTATTTTTAATCATTATTGACACAAGAGTGGTTTCAAATAGGTAACAGTAAAGTTGTGAGTTTTAGTACAATTTATAAAAATAAATGATAAAAAAAATATATATAAAAAAAAACACTGATTTAACCCTTTACACAGATGTATATTTTAAAAACACTTTAGTTAAAACTGTTCTACCAAGTGAAAGTGAAATATTTGAGAACATGGAACAGATCCTGATTTTTAATTAATTAAGTAGCTTTCTGTGGCTCCATTTTCCAACTCTCTCTTTTATGCTGTTTTTGCAGAACCAATTACTCACATAAATGAAGAGATTACCATATGTATATGTGCAATGATCCAATAAAAATATTTAAAATCAGATTGTTTAAAATTATATTTGATTGCATAACTAATACAAATATTTTCATATTTCCATACCTTTCTTAACTGATTAGTGAAAAAGAGTGTTTGTAGTAGAGAATTCATATAACAAGTAGCACCTTGGTTTTTTAATCCTACATAACCTGTATGCTTCTTTGAATCCCAACTAAACAAAAAAAATTAAATTAATATTTTTAAATTAAATTTTGTTTTAAGTATTCTTATATAAATAAATATTTCCATTTAATTAATTAAAACACTAAAAATTATAGAAATTGGAAAATAAAACTTAAAAATTATTTAAAATCTTTAAAACATGTAAAAAATATATTAAATTTTCTGCTTACAGTCCTATTATAATGAAAATTTTACTACAATTATATATTTAATCAATTTATATATATATATATATATATAAAACATTCTAAAGATTGTTTATTTTCATGGAAAAATGTTTTTTTACTTAAAAGAATTTCTTACCTGACACCATGAGGAGCATCTGCACATACCCAAACTTCAAGTATTATAGTATCATCTTTAATAAAACCTTTTTCTGGATCCAAAATATCCTAGATTATAAAATAAAAAACTTTTCAATATTTTATGCTTTTTCACATTAATGTGTTTCTAATAATTGCAAGTTTAAAAATTGATTTACTAATTTCCAAATAAATCTTTAACTCAAAATTTCAATGGCTTAGCAATTTTTCATTACTTTAAAACAAACTCTTACAATAACAATACATTAATTTTAGTTGTTAGTGTATAAAAATATTACTTCCTATTTTGTATGCTGTGTGATCAAATCATATCTATGCAGAATATTTAATTTTTAGCTAAGAATAATTTCTGATGTTTCAATTTTATTTTAGCAGTAGTTAATTTGCAAAAAATTTTACATAAATGATGTAAACTATTACATGAAAGTAATATAATTATAAAAAAATATTAGAAATAAATAACTATTTTTTTAATATTTCAAAATGCTTACATTCCACGCCATAAAATGACTAAATCCCCAATCATTCTCTTTACTGTAGAATAGATGTTGAATTTCTGAAAAGAAAATAGGTTAAGGAATTAAATCTCTTAAATAATAAACTTTATAATAATGAAAATATAAAATATTGAAAAAATTTTTCTTACTTCTTACAAAATTTTCTTCTGTTCCCTCTTTCTGACCAATAAGTCTTAATTCTGCTGCTGCATTACAGGACCAAGTTCTAAATAAATAAAGATATGTATTATACAGTAGGTTTTCGACTAGAGACTTGCATTAAATAGAATATTAAGACTTACGACGACTCTGATTCTCCGTTACATTGTAAAAAGAATCCTAATCCTTTCGTTAATTCTCGACTCTGACTTTGGTTTGTTCGTGGCATTACCATTATTTTCCTATTAGATATAAAATATATATAGATGATCTCTGCTATTATTTGTGTACATTTATTTAGTTTAAAAATACATTTGAAATTTTTTAAGTTAAAAACATCGTGGATAGCATAGGATGGATAACTTGCCTAATAAAAATTTAAAAAAATAAGAAAATATGTTATATTTTGAACTTTGTATTCAAAGATCTCCAGAAATTTATCATTCTCTTCATGAAAAGTATCAAAATTTAAACACTCAGTGACTTATAAAGATTATTTAGTAGTGAATCACATGAAAACAAGTTAACTCATTATGAATTATCAATGAGTTAAATAAAATTGTTTTTAATGATTTGTTGAAAAAAAATCTACGCAAATTAGTAAATTATACATTAAAACTAAAAATGAATATATTATATATTATTACCATGGAAGGTTTCTCACAAATGTAGGTGGACTGAGCAAAGTATCTTTGAGTTTGCTGAAATTGGGAACTGTAAATCTGAAAGTTGCTTCTGATCTTGCTTCATCTGAAATTGTTAATATAAAAATATTATAAATTAGATAAGAAAATTTAACAGAAAATATTAAATGTATTTAAAAGCTAACTTAATGTCTAATATTTAAAACATGTCTGAAAGGAATGCAATGAGACAGATAAGAATTTTCTATTTTGGTAGATATTCATTTTATAAGGAGTTACTTTTATTAATGCAGAAAGAGTTAAAAATTTTTTTTAAAATAAATATACTTACTAATTACATTATTTTATATTTTAATTCTGTTATTTTTTTTATTAAAACAAAAATAAGAACTATTTTGTAATACCAAAACTTTTTTGTCAAAAATCTCCCAATCCTATTAACCAGTTTTTCCAGTTTCCAGTGTTTGGATAAACTGTTTTAATCATTCGGCATTGTCACAGCATACAAAGTGTGACTATAAGACAGAATAATATTTCGAGTTGGAGTGGACATCATTTGTGTGGCATATATCTGCACTGCCAACTACAATGATAACATCAATATCATAAGTACTGTGACCAACATTAAAGTTGAAAAGTGTGCTCCTGGCGTGATATGACTTGTGCATATGTTTTGGAGTTGACTTGTACAGCAGGTATAGGGTCTAAACCAGAATGCCATGCTGAACCTTGAGATTGGCTTACATGCTGGTGTATACAGTATACAAAGGCATAATAAAGAATATTCTCATCTGTTTTTTGAAAAACTTGAAAACAGAATTAATCTATCATAGTATTTTTAATTCAATTTTAACCTTATAAGGACAGGAATTTGAAAGGAATTTAAATCAAAGAGGGAGAAACTAAATCAGAAATGTAATATATTAAAATACTATTTTAGTAATTTCACATATCTTACAAAAAAAAATTTATCAATAAATTCAAAATCCATAGAGAATACTTCTAATTTTTATTTTTTTTGGTGACTACTTAATTATATGAATTATTTATTTCTGAAATGATTTTTCTGCACTTAAAAAACACACACACACACACGAGAGCTTCTGTTACTATTTCTGTGGGATACAATATGTAAAATTTTTGAATGCATAACCAAAACAAAAATATATATCATACTATATAAAGCTGAAAAACCGGATTCTTTTTTTATTTCTGTCACTGTATGCCAAAAACAGCCACTAGGGGACTCCTAGCTATTATTTAAATTAACAATAAATTCAGTATATTATTATTTGATGCAGTTTTTGCATTTTTGGCTGCATTTTAGTAGAGTACACATGAAAAATTCAGTATATTATTATTTTTATTTGTAATAAGAATTTATTATTTATACCACAGAATGACATTGCTGCTGCTAGAATGCCCACTAAAGGGCATCCTGTACTACTAGAATAGAAGGATTAAAGTACGAAATAATCTAATAATCTTAATCTTTGTTGTTGTTTTTTGCCTGGGCAATGCCGGGCTCATCTGCTGGTATATATATAAACTTGAAAAAGATTATTATAAAACAGTTCTTCTTTGGAAATATAATGGTTATTTTTTAAATAGTTCTATGCTTGAGTAAATAGTTTTTGAAAATCACTATTACCAACATCAAATACTTTATTTTTTAGACAGTTTGTTTTTTATTATTTGTATTATAATATTTTGTTACAGGTCTTTTAGGGGAGGATATCAATTGTCTTGTGATATTTCCCTTTGTATATGCAATAAATAAATAAAGTTTCCAATTAGTACACTGAATCCTCAATTTTTGTACACGTCAACTTTCAGGAATTCAGTCATTCGTAATCGAAAATTTATGTACCAAAATTTGTGAAAGGTTTCGACCTTTGGGAAATGGTACTACTATAAACTGGAGTTGGCACCCATGAAAACTGGATGATTGAGCAGGCACAAGGCTAAAAGATCATTGCACTCACTTATTTGTATGGTGTCTGTCATATGTTATGCTATTGTTTTGTTTTTTTGGCTCATATAAAGTGACTTTTGCAGCACTATAAATCATTGCACACCATATTTATTTAATAAAACCATTCATTTTTCTGAAAATTTTCTAAAACAGCAGTAATATATAAAGCCTTAGAACAAATTACAAATTTAACAATTAAAATGAAACAAAGCAAGTTTGAGAGTTTGATGTTCACAAATATGGAGATCAGTGTATTTCATAACATACACAATTTGCACACATCACTTTCTTTGTAACATCTCTATCACTTAAAGTAATATAAAAGATGATGTTAATTTATTAAAATTAAGAAAGGAATATATAAAGTATAAAAAAAGACTTCTTACTGTTTAAGAAAGTAATAGTAAACGTTAAAAAATTTATTTCCATTCTACTGTTTTTGATAGTAAATCTAGAGGTATGACAGGAATCTAAATATTAAAAAAAATGTGTCAAAATTTTTTACTGTTTTATTCCTTTCCTTTCTTTTTTTAAATTAGAACTTTCCAATACAACAATGCAGTCAGAGGAATTATTTCCCTGCTAGATTACATTTTAACCAGATAAATTTCAATTAACAACAATGCTCATTTCTTACAACCGCCAAAGCATCAATTTCCAATAGTTCTCCCTCTGGATTTCAATTTTTTAAATTTTGCTTGTAGGAATAAGAAAGTTGCTTGATACCCATGAAAATATATTATACAATACATTGCTGGTGGAAGCTTCCACAGAAAAATAAACTGAACAAAAGCATTGCATCATTTACATTTTTATAGATCTCTCTTCCCTTGCTCCTCTAATAATTTCTTTTCTCGCTTTTCAACAATAGTATGATTTTTTATTAATTTAAATTAATGAAATGGAAATGTATGAAGTTAAAATTTATTCCAATAGAAAAAAAACAATAAAAAGTTAAAAAAGTCTTTTTTCTTAATTTCATAACAAATAAGGGCATAATAGTCAGGAAAGAAGTGTTTAAAAATGCATTATGCCTCCATGTGCTCTCTGCACATCACTAAGACATATGGGTTTTGATTTAATAATTGATCTATTTGCAATATCTTTTTGTGAAATGTTCTCCCATTCCTCCTGAAGAGCTCTTTTAAGGTCTTGTAATGTGATAGAACAGTTTAAACAGTTCCAAAGCTATCTCCCCAATGTATGTCTTACAAGCTCAATGGGATTTAGGTATGAGCCTCCAAAGTTGTCTATCCACATCATTATTAAACCACCACCAATGGCTACTCTGGGTGTAATACTGCATTCTGCCTATCATTCTTCTGGACATCTCCATACTCTCTGCCATCCACTTAGAGTATACAAAGTAAATTGGGATTTTTCAGTGAACATAACATTGTCCCTGCTCAATCACCATGCTCATTGGCAAATTGTAGCCTGGCTACTCATTGTGTCCTAGTGAGAAGTGAGTCACTTGCAGTCATGCCAGTTTCCTTTAATTATTCTCCTCACTGTTCAAGCTGAAATTGACACATTCTTCACCCTTTGAAATCTGAGTGTTTGTTTGAAGCAATCCTTCAGAATTGACAGGCAAAAAAAACTGTTCATACCTTGTTGTTGTGCTCTTTATGTAGCCTTGATCTTGTCTTCTAGATTAACTCCCGGAATCACAAACAGCCAAGAGACAGCTGACCAACTGATTCAAAGTTTGTACAATTTCATGCTGCTGAGTTAAACTTCAGCAAAAGCAACAGCTTTGTTTCATCATTCTCACTGACAAAGGACTATCTGTTCATTTTTGCAATCTTGTAACTTTCTAATCAACAAATAATACAAGAGAATTCAGATATAAGTAAGCAATCTGCTCTAGCATACACATGCAAATGCAGCAGTTAGTGTAAAAGATGCTTTAGTGTAAAATTAAATTTGTTATAACAAATGATTTAATCACATCACTAATTGCTCATCAAAAGTAACCTTGAAAACAACATCTTCCATTAGATGAGATAAGCAATCAAGTGTTCTATTACGGTAGCCTATCTACTGTAGCAACTGGAATGGACACTTTTTCAGTTGCTACAGTATTTTTACAAGATTATTTTTAAACAAAAAGAAAATTGGAAAAAAATATTTTCCGATCAGAAGGATGGTCATAAATTGAAGTTATGAACACCTAGGTATATCTGTTGCAACGAATGGAAATTCCTGTAATAATCATACAATTGACCTGTTGCATAAACCAGGTATTGCCATTTTTTCCCCATGGAAATAAAATGGAATTTACAGTTAAAAACCAGTATACAATGATTTCCTTTACTTGCCAAACGAGATGTTCTAGATGTCAATTATTTCCCATTTTAAGCCCTGCATTCTCTATCCAATTCCTGGGCAGATAAATATCAATTAAGAAAACTCACTCAGTAGATGAATATCTCTGTCAGTTTCAATGACACTTTACAGCTTCATAGAGTCCAGGCAAATTTGAATTAGTGGGCCCTATGTAGTGTTGACAACAGAGATTTTTCTTCAAGAGAATTATTTGGGAAAATATTTTCTTTTAAAAGATTGTTTTGGGGTACCTATTGTGAGAGTCCCAGATATTTGTCTTTTTTGCCCATAGGATAATGCCAAAGTCTAATATATATTTATGAATTGCATTTCTGAATGACTGTGATGGAGCTGTCAAAATCAAAATTATTTGTCATTTCACAGAATACCAAAGGAATAAGAACAGCCCTTATCAGTTACCATCAATCTACTCAGTTTGGAAAAATTATAATTACAGTAGAACCTTGATTATCCGGACCTCTATTATCCAGATTGTTCAAAATAAACAAAAATTTTACAAATTTGCTGATTTGCACTTGGCGAATTACGATACTGTTTATGTATATGATGGAATGCATAACTTTTTTTTGTTTCAACAACGTCTCACCCGGCGCAGTGGCCATAAACTCTTAAATATATTTTGCGTTGTAATAAAAATATAACTTCACATACGTATTCATAAATAATTTATTTTCAAATTACATCATTTCTATGACCAAGGGTGGCATAAGGCATGGACAACGTGAGCCACTGCCTATGCCTCGCGGTCTGAAGGGCTTCGCATTTCGAAGGTTTATGCATTACTTAAAAGACACAAACACGACGAAAAAATTTTACTCGTCATAAAACGACAAATAGTTTGTCAAATTTTTATTCATAAAAATGCAGTTTCAACTGCTTTTTATTTTATAAAATCCGTCTTCTTGCGCTACCAAAGGGCCTTTTAAACAATAGGTAGTCTGTTAGCGTTGGTCAGTAGTAGTCCAAATTCAATTGAATGTTTGTTTCTTAAAAATTTAATCACAGTTTAAATGCAGTATTTACTTTTAATATTACCGATATGTCATCAAAAAGAAAACGTGTTGTATTATCATTAAAAGACAAATTAAAGTATTTGTTTCGATTATCCAAATTTTTCCCTTATCCGGACTACCTTCATCCCCAATTAGTCCGGATAATCGCAGTTCTACTGTATCAATAAATCAACTTACTTTTTAACAAAAATTAAGCAAATATATGTCAAACACCTAAAGTAGAATATCAGTTCCAAAGATCATTCTGCACTGATTGCAAGAGGTCAGCTTTATCAAGCTCAAATGTATGGTTCAAACTAAAATAAATAAATAAATAAATTATATATATATACATATTTGTTTGAAAGTTCTGTTTTATCTAGGTAGAGACTGTACTAAATAAATCTGACAAATACTTTGGTTCATTTACACAGTTCCTGATAAGAAGCGAGTCATTTGATGGGTTTCTGGCATAATAGACTCAGGATCTGTTCAAGATTTTTCCACCAAAATAAAAACAAAATCTTATTCCTAAATTATTTTTTTTATGATATTTAAGTAAAAATGACTAGATTTTCATACTAAGTCAAAAGTAGAGCATGGAATCTATTATTTTTTTCAATTTGCCTCTGGCTGCCTCCTTTCCAATGAGTTTACCATTTGTTTATTTATTCTCTAAAACCAAACTGAATCTAATTCCTTGATTACTTTTCAGGTTATATTAAATTTTTAATTGAATATTGAAATTTGTCTAAGGTGAAGCAGTTAAGCCACAGTTTTGTATAAATATTTAATTTCTAATTATTAATTTTAAATTTAGTTAAATAATTTAAAGAATCCTGGAAGAAAAGAGATCCCAAATGGGATTTAAACTCCTATTTTGAACTGATAGCCTGGATCAGTGTTTCCCAACCTGTGTGTTAAAAGGTTCCTCAGTGTGTCACAAAAATGTTAAGTATTTTTTAGAATTACACACACTTTTTTAAAATTTCATTTATCTTTCATTCTGGCCAACCGAAGGGAAAAGGAGGTATTCACTAAAATGCCAACTGTTCCAAATTTTGCTGCTTCAGCTATCCATTTAACAAAAGTTACATGCATCCATACATATACCAGCATATCAACTAATTGGATCTTCTATAAACATATGAAACATTACAGTTTACCAGCTTAAAGACCAATACTAGCTCTTTATGCATTGATTCAAGTAGCCTTTTTATTTTTATACTATACTTGTAAAATTGTGAGGTTTTGTCTTGGTAGGTTTAACTTCTGTATTATCAAATTTAAAAAAAAAATCAACAGTAATCTTAAATTTTAAACATTTTTATTTTATGAAGAATTATGCTGTATCACAGAAATCTTATTAAATTCAAAGTGTGTCACTAATCCAACTATCCAGACAGTTTTTCCCAACCTCTTGGGAAAAACTGGTCTGGATAGTATTGATAGCATGAATACAAATCTGGCCAGTTTAAGCTTAACTTTGGTTAACAATTTGGGTTTAGGTCACACAGTAGACTCACCAAAATATAATAACCAATAGAAAAGATTCTAGGTATTATCCTATAAACAAAATGCTATTTTACTATCAATATAATAACCTGTAAATGGTCATAATCTTGTCAAAGCAACTTTATGGAACATTAAATCAACAATAGCCTACAAGACAGAGAAAGTGAGGCCAGGAAATAGAAGAGAATTTGGTCAGTAAATATAGTTTTTTTCAATTATCTGAAACATCGCTAGGTTTGCTTTTTATTCCCATTTTGATCAATCAATCATCTTTATTCGTAATAGATTGTTACCTGTTACAATAGGGTATCCCAATTAGTAAAAAACAACAGTTAATTGTAACATATATTAAAAACGTAACAGTATGTTAACATAAAAGGAATACATAATTTTTTCATTGGTTACTTTGTTCAATGCACGAAGGTTATATCTGTCTCGCAACTCCTGGACCTCTTTACACATACAAAACATATGGATTTTGGAACATGTATCCCTGCATCTAAAGTAGTAATGGTTTGATAAATCATAAATATTGTTATTGATTGTTATTACCTCTTTATTTAATTTTAACTGAATGAAGAACTTTTTTATGTTAAAGGCTAGATTTGAAAACATAACCATTGATATATGGGTATTCTAAGATTATATTGTACTATTCAGGGTTTTCCCAGTTATTAATATCATTAATATCTTGAGACACAAAATGTTTTTGAAATTTTTCTATCAATTGTACACTGAGTAGTTTGCTCATGTTGGTTTTCTCCATAAAGGGACCTATTGAAAATCCACAACTGTTGAATATATTTGATATTTGACCTGCCCAGTTTTTTCTCTGAGCATCATTACACATTTTTTAAGTATAATAATCTTAGTAGTTTAGCTGGTAATATTTCACTCTCTTTTATCTTAGAAAAAAATTTAATAAAGTCTTTTTATAAAAAATGGGCATAGTTTGAATCTGTTTAATTCCAATCTAAAAGCACTTCTGGGAGTATTGTATTCTAATGAGAAAATTTTGTAAATAAATTTATTTTGAATTATTTCTAGCTTCTGATAATTAGTTAGGCTCCAGATCGGTGAAGCATATCCTATAGAATTCATAATAATGGAGTTGAAAAGTTTAAAATGAACTATTATATTCTTCAATTTAATCTGACTAAATAGTTTCACCATATTATTAATCAGTATGTTGGATTTGATCATGCTTCTTTTTGTATTGTTTTTCGAATGACAATGTAGGAGTTAAAATAATTCCGAGACATTTGATCTCTTGAATTATTTTTAATTCTTTGTTATTGAGATAAAAAGACATGTTTCTTAGAAAGTCTGATTACAGATGATTTACTAGGGTTGATTTTTAATTTTAGTTCTTCACAATACTCGTTCAAAGCATGTATCTTTCTACATAAAACAGCAGCTGTCGGAGCAATAATCACTATGTCATTTGCATAGGATATCGAATGTATTGCTTTTCAAATAGAAAACCATGATCTTCTCTGTTAAAACAGCCATTAAAATCAAACATATAGAAATTAATTAGATGTGGTGACCAGGGATCACCTTGTAATAGGACTTGTCAATATCAAAAGCTGGCAATTGAAAATTATCTTGCTTGATCATCACTTCATAGTGGCCAAATAATAATTCTATTATTTTTATAAGATCGTCTTCTGCCTGATAGTTAGCTACTTTCTTTGTAAATTTGAGATAATCACTAAATCATAAGTTTTTTCAATATCTAAAAATAAGGAAAATACCTTATGCCTTTTTTTTTTTTACAAAACTGTAGTTGAATTATTGCAATCAGGATAAATAGAGCCATTTGAGAGCCTCCATCTTTAATAAGTGTGAATTGTGTGTAATTTTTATAATTATTCCTTTCAGTCCAATCATTAAACCTTGTCAGTAGAACAGAATAAACAGTTTACGAAAACCAGAAAGTAGTACTATTGATTGATAATTATTTGGATGTTCTCTCTCTCCTTTTTTTAAACAACATATAAAGAATGACTTTATTCCAATCATTTGAAATCTTATACAGATTGTATAGATCATCAAATTGTCTAGCTAAATATTTAATAATATTCATCGGTAAATTGTTTAATATGAAATTAGGAATAGAATCGTAGTCTGAGGCTGTCTTTTCCTTTAATTTTTTAATATTGGAATATAAATTGTCTACATTGAATACATTGAATTGTCTTCATGTGATTTATTCATTAATTGGATATTTTCAATAATATTAATTCTGTTTTTACATAACTGTCTGAAAATTTTTTAAAATATTGATAACCAACTGTCAAAATGGAACCAGTGATTTTTTGATAGTTTTTGAAAATGGCCTATGAAACCATTTATGGTGTTCCAGAATAATTTGGTATCTTTTGATTTTTGATCTTTTGAATTTTGAATCATTTACTTCAGAAAAATATTTTTTCTTTTTCACTTTTATATAGTTTCTGTAAATTCTCTTATTTTTTAGATATTTTTCCAATGATTGTTCTGAGTTTATTTGCCTAAATTGTTACAAACTCTTCTGTTTCTTCATTTTGTAATAGTAACATTTATTATCATACCATCTTTGTTTGAATTTTGGTATCATATACTTTTACACATCCTAAACTGATAAGATTCTAACAACAACATTAATTATTATAATTATCAGTTCTTTATTCTCTTCCTGTAATATTATATCATTAGCATTATAGAAATAGATAAATAAAAAAAACTTACACCAAAATTGTATAGCTTCTTGATAACAAGCACTGAGTTCAGCATTAACACAATTTTCTTATCTCTCAAGTTAACACAATTTAAATTAAAGTACTTGCGAGATAAAAAAATTGTGTTAACGCTGAACTCAGTGCTTGTTTATCAAGAAGACATTAGCATTATTTTCAATTTCTCTTAAAAACTTCTGCTTATTAAATTTTCAACCTTTATCCTTAATTAATTCTTGATTTTGTGTAGATATCTGGAATTTGTTTACTCTTTCTGTACTTCCTCTTAATTTCAATTGTATCGGAAAATGATCTGAATCATCTAAGTTTAGTACCTTCATTGTTAGACACTAATCTATAACAAATTCAGAGCACATGATATAGACAATTATAGATTTACCTGTATGTGCTACAAAAGTATATTATTTGGCAGGAAAATCACCATTGAACCTACTATTTAAAATGAATAGTTCATTTTCCTGAACAAAGTCCAGAAGGGTTTTTCCATCTGTATTAATGTTTTGTCCTTAGTTACTCTCCAATTATTAATATTGACACTTCTTCCTTTATATTTTGAATCAAACTTCTCTCCAATTCGAACATTGAAATCACTACCTATTATCCATAAATTAATTAATAAAATTAGATCATTGTGTGATGATTTTTTGAATTTCTTTAAAACATGACTTTTTATCAATTGAAGGGGGAAGATATACAAGTATGATTACAATTCGCAAACCTCCCCAATTTGGGTTAAATCTCTGTCCTGTATTTATTATAGTAAAAATAAAGTTTTCAGTTATATTATATTGTAGTAACTCACCAATTTATTTCTTAATCAGCAATAAAAGGCCTCCAGATAATTGGCCAAATTTTCTAATTCTTTGTGCCTTGCTAAATAATACTATGTATTCTTGTTCTAAATACTTATTATTTTCCTCTTTCATTTTGAGTATCCATGTCTCTGTAAAACCGATAATTGAATGAATTTTCATATATTCTTTTAAGGAATCTCTATACAGTTTTTTTTTGTAGTCCTTGGATATTCCAAAATCCTATAAGTATTTTGATACTATCATTGCAGTATGTTGTTTTTTGAAAGTGAAATCTTAGTTGCATTATTGTTATTAATCTGTTTGTCTATATTCCCAACTTTGTTTATATTCTAATTCTATATTTTCTGTTGTTTTAATTTTAACGTTTCATTTGTCTACTATTTCTTTCAATCCATTTATTGTTAATTCTAAAGTGTTAGTTCCTTCCTAAAAAACCACTTAATTGTACAACTTTATCCAAGTTAGCATCATATGTATATATTTTGTTATCTTTTATGTAATAATAATCTCTTGTTATTATTCTATTTCCATAGGATTTTTCTTGTTTGATTATTGCTTGTACTTTTTTCTCCTAAGTCTTGATCTTTTACATAAGTCTGCAGTAAATATTATTTTTTTCATCCTCTCATTATTGGTGTTAATGTTCATTTTCCAGAGTTCTTTAAGAATTAAATTTCTGATGTATAAAAAGTCTAATAAAATTTTCACAATAAGTTTAGTTTTATTTTTGGTTGGTCTAATTAAGCTTTCTATAGAACTATTTGTTATTACTAAATCCTCTTTCATAAACTGATTAATTTCTCTTAGATAGTCCAATGAATTAAACAGAAAATTTATGATTATGTTGTTTTTCTTATATCTCTCGTTTACCAGTTTATCTATTTCAAATTCCAACATACTCTTTATTTGGCTATGATTTTTGGATATTTCCTCCATTTTTTCTATTTTTTGGAACAATTTTGTCAATTCTCCTTGAAAATATTTGTTTTCCTGTTTCAATGAATTTACTTCTGTCTTAATTCCTTGTAATTCTATATTAAGCTGTAAAATTTTTTCCTGTATTAAATCATATATTGATTTTAATATATATTGGGGCTCTTCCTGCACCTCTGGTTCTGTATCTCTTAATGTTTTGAAATATTCATGTATTTTCATAGTTCTTGTAGCCTCAAGACTACTTTTACAGTAATCCTCTTCAATTTGGTAGAATTCTTCACTGATTAAATTGTCCAATTGTTTTTCTTTTTCCATTTCTTTGATCAATAAACACATTATTAAATCCAGTGATAACCTATTCATAAATATCCATTTTGCCAAATCAAAAATTTTTCAGCCATTTATGGTTTTCCAAATCATTAACACACAGTATTCAAGTTCCACTAAAAGTTCACCAGTACCTCTGGCAACCAGTGCACACACCCCTCACCCATTTCAGAAAAAATAGATAAACAGTAATGAGTTAGAAAAATTATCTATATTCTTAATATATTCTGATTACATTGTAGTATAACATATGGACTGTACAACAGCCAATATTCAACGTCCACACCCATAGACCCTACTCTATGTAGATGACATCCTCCTTGCAGCAGAGTCAAGACAAGAGTTACAGGACCAAGTCCTCCAGTGGAACGACTGCCTTGCTGATGTCGGCTTCAGGCTCAACATCAAGACAGAATACCTAGAGTGTGGGGCCCAGACGAATGTGTCAATTAACATTAACGGAGAAGACCTTAAGATGTCCGCTCAATTCAAATACCTTGGCTCACTCATCAGCAATGATGGTGAAACCACCCTGGATGCAAAGGCGCGAGCCAATGCAGCCTGGCTAAAGTGGCGACAATGCACTGGCGTCCTCTGTGACCGTCGTATGCAGACCCGGCTGAAGGTGAAAGTCTACAAATCTGTCGTCTGCCCAGTGGCCCTATACGGGTCGGAATGTTGGCCATCAAGCACCCGTCACGAACAAACTCTCCAAACCATGGAAATGAAGATGCTTCGCTGCTGTCTTGGCTTTACCCAACTTGACCACACCCTAAATGAAGACATCCGAAAGATCATGGGAGTGGCCCCCATATCTGAAAAGATGTGGGAAGCAAGACTCAGATGGTATGGCCATGTCATTCGTAGTGATGAACACTCAGTAGCAAAGAGAGCATTACAACTCAGCCCACCTGGATGACGACCCCGAGGGCACCCCAAAATGAGGTGGATGGATTGACTGCAAGATGACATAAGGAGGGTAAACGTCACGCCAGAAGACACATTGGACTGTACCAAATGGAGAAGGGCATGCAAGAAAGCGGACCCTTCATAGAAGCAGGACTTCAACGCTAGGAAGAAGAAGATTTTAAAAAGTTCTAGCTTTCCATGCATGGAATCAAACAAAAGAATTCTGTGATCAAAAAAAGTATGTTAAAAGCAATAATTGGTCACACTAATAAAAAAAATTAAGGATCACATGATAAATTTGTTTATAATTAGGTGCATGAAACTAACAACTACTTTTATATTGAATGAAGTTTATTGTTCAATACTATATACAGTAGAGCATTGATTATCCGACCCCCGATTAACCGTCACATCGGTTAACTGACTGTTCTATTCGGCAAATTTCAAATGTCTGCTAGTGATGTGGCACTACAATATTTGGCTACTTTAATATTATTTTTGTTAAATTTTTGCGTGTTTTAGCTGGCAACACAACTCGACCATTGAAGGGAGGCCAGTATTTGAACAAGACTTAATTTTCTAATTATGAATGGTTGTTTGTTTTGTGAGCAATAAAATAATTTAAAAATAATTTTTAACGATACAATAGCAACGATTATTATTAAAAAAAATTGTTAGGCTTAACATCGATGAAAATTCAATGCAAAGTTGGTTAATAGTGATATACTAATTACATGGGATATACTAATATACTATACTAATAATGTATTTTTTTCATTTTTTTTCGGTTATCCGATTTTTCCAGTTATCCAACCAACCTGAGTCCCCAATTGAGTCGGATAATCGATGCTCTACTGTATAAGTAAAATAAAAATATAAACAGCCGATTAATGGATTATTTAATTCATTTATACACCTGATTCATTAATCAGCTATATAACACCTGATTTGGGTGCAAAACTAGTATTTAAGAAGCCTACAATTCTTCTTTATTTAATTAAAATACAGTAGCACTTGTTCAATTTGGACCATGAATAAAAAAATATACCACACATATATACATACACATAGTTTACACACACACAGTAAAACTTCTCAAACTCAAAGCAAAAAGTTTGAGTTACAGACAATTCAAGTTGGAGAAGAATAGAGTAAAAAATGCCAATTCCAAGTAACTTGTATTTTTACCTCTCTCGCATTATATAAAGAATCTCTGATATTTTTTTGTTTTAAACAGTCCATGTAATGCCTTTCAGCAAAATGTTTAACGCAACTAGCAGAATCAAGTGGGCCTCTCATTTTGGGATGGAACATTGTCTGCAAATTGATGTTGTGGATGGTATATACAACTAACTATTGAAAATTTCATGGAAATCCGATAATTAGGATCAGTTTGGATAGAATAAATATTAAAATTCAAGTCAGAAAAGTCGAAAGTAATATATATCAGTGTTGGGGATCCATGAAAAACTCTGACTTGAAAAATTCAAGACGTTAAATCCCTATGCTATTCCATTGAGACTTACCAACTGCTTTATTTTCTTCGAGTTAAATACACGAGTTACAGAAGTTTTACTGTACAAATTAAAAGCAAAATGTTCTAATCACTACCATACACAAATAATGTCATTTAAAAATTAATTTGATTTACAATATGAAAATTTCAAAATACAGTAGAGAGTCGTTTATCCGAATCAATTGGGGACTGGGGTTGTTCAGTAAATAGATATTTCGGATAACCGATTATGTATGAAAAAATATATTAACCTATCCCGTGTTGAAATTTTTCTCCATTGCATGTCACTTCGCGTTGAATTTTTGTCGATGTTAACCCTAACGAAGACTATTGTATCGTTAAATAAATATATTGAAATATAAAAACAATAAAAAATTATACTTCAGAAGTTAATTTAGTATCAAAAATGTAAAATATTTGAGTAGCCCAAGACATAGCCAAAGATTGCAGCACCACAGCACTGGCGAAAATTTAAATTTGCCAACTGGAATTCTTTCGAATAATTGACTTTTGGATAAATGATGCTCTACTGTAACTTTTAAACAGCTTTTTAAAACATTGGATCAACTGAAAATTAAAACAATTTTAATTAATTAATTTTGACTTTATTTTTTGTTTGGTGTAAAGATCAATTTTAATTATTATTTTATTATTTTTAAATTTAATAATTTTCAGGTTTAATTTATTTAATATTAAATTAGCTTTTATAATTGTTTTTAATAATTTTTATTTATTTAATTTTGTATTAATTTCGTCTGCATGTTTTGAACACTTAATTACAATTTTTTAATTAATTGCAACTCTCTTCTTTTGCAACATAACTACTTGTTTCAGTGTTGTTTTGCGCAAAAGATAATCAAACTTAAGTTTATTTTAATTCTTTTAGTAATTTCATTCATTTTTTTGTTTATGAATTTGCCTGTTTTCAAAAAAAATTTTTTTTTAATTTTAATTACGAGTGAGTTAACATTGAACTAACAGGTTTTCAAGTTTTGTACAAAACCAAAAGCAAAATTTATTTAACATTACAAAGTATTACAGTAGAGCATCATTTATCCGAAAGCCGGTCAACCAAAAGCGTTCCAGTTGGCAAATTTAAATTTCCGTTAGTGCTGTGGCACTGCAACCTTTGGCTATGTCTTGGGCTACTCCAATATTTTTTTTGTTGGTGTGTGTGTTTTAGCTGGCAGCACAAGCACTTTTGTGTGGTGTTTTTCTGAGGATTGTGTGTTGTGCTGAACCAAATATTTTTGATACTAGATTAACTTCTAAAGTATAATTTTTTTTTGTTTTTATATTTTTCAATATATTTATTTTGTTTGTACAAAATAAAGAAATAATTTTTAACAATTTAATAGCTACGATTATTATTATAAAAATTTTCGTTAGGCTTAACATCAATGAAAATTCAACACAAAGCGACACGCAACAGAGAAAAATTTAAACATGGGATAGGTTAATATAATTTTTCGTACATAATCGGTTATCTGAAAAATAAGTTATCAGAACAACCCCAGTCCCCAATTGATTCAGATAAACGACGCCGCTCTACTGTAATTTCAAAGATGAATTATTAATTCAGTAACGTGTTTTAGAAAATATTTTATTTCTGTTTGAATCAAATTTATAAATTAAATGGAGAGTAAAATTAATGAATATGAGACAATAAAATAAATATCTTTAGAGTGTAAACAATGTTCTACAGTTCACACAAATGATTATTACTTTAATGTAATAGAAATGACACTTTACTTATAAATTGTCAATATTTTCCTTCCAGTTGCCATTTTTAATTTTCTCATCTCACATGCTTTCTGCTCTCATATTCTTTGATAGCCATATTGGATTTACTGTCATAATGAAGTTCGACATCTCAGACTTTTTAGTGTATTACTATTATTATTATTATTATTAAACAAGTTCTTAATACTATTTAACAAGATAAAACAAGTATAAAATACAAAAAAAAAATAATAAATAAATGAGGTTGCCCAGTGGACAATTAGACAACAGTTACCATATATCTGTGCAGATAAGACAATAGTTGAATCATGAAAAAAAAAAAATCCCCAAAATCCGGGGTCATCTTATAGGACAGATATATGCTAAAAATATAAAACTTTGACGAAAATTTATACCTCGTCTTATCTGAAGGTCATCTTATCTGTGCAGATATATGTTAATTTTGAATCCTGGCAAAGCATTTTGTAATATAAACTACCAATACATAAACTAATTATTACAGCTTTTGTATTAAACTTCAGCTATTTCAAACTAAATAAACTTCAGTTCTACATAGAAAACATTACATAATTCAACTTATCTCAACTACACCTAAAAACAGATTTTAATTTACTATTTCAACTGTTTGAAACAGAAACAGCTGCTTAAAATGAAGATAAAAATATTAATATGAATGTACAGAATGATTAGCAAATCACTTTATTTTTCACAACTCTTCAGCATTTTTTCAAAACACATGCTGCATGCTAATGTACAACATTGACTCAATAGCTTTATTTTTACTTGTTATACCTATTAATGAATTATTATTAAACCTATTAATTTATAAAAACTGTTTTAAACTTATCATTCCTTTATTAATTTAAAAGAATAAATTAAAAAATTTTTATCAAATGTTATAGTGAGGATGTAAAAGTTCAGAAAACCAGGTTTTCTGAATTTTTCCTTGGCTGTGAATATGAATCCCTAATTTAACATGATAAAGAAAACAATACTAATACATTAATGTTTTTTAAGTTTGATTTTTAATAATTTTTAAATTTGCATTAGCAAATTTTGGGTGAATTAGTGAATTCACTTTCAGATTAAAGAAACATAGAACAATGCATAGAAATAAACATTTTCCCCCTTCATTTTTAATTAAAAAAAAAACATTCAAACTTTTCCAGTTGAACTCCCACTTGCATTTCAAATATTTATAATAATAGTTTATAAAATACTTT